TGCGGAATACAGATCATATATGATGTATAAACTGTACTAGGTTTAACTAAGGATTGCTTGTATATGAATGAAAAATGCTGGATTAAGTAAAATAAACTTTCAAAACAGACTTTTCAAGTTTCTCAACAAGTAAGAAATACGCTAACACTCGAAATCATAAGGATTTTGCTAATAAATTATTTAAAACTCAAGTCATTAACAAACACTATACTGCTTAGAAATCTTCATATTTAGGGCTACAAAAAAATATATCGGGGTCTACACAGCTAATGTTTAATTAGCAGAAATAGAATTTTTTAACTACAATGTACAATTCTTATTTCAAATCTAGGTTTTTTTTTAACTTGCCGAATGAAGATTTTTTTTCTGTCCTCACTTTAATGGTGCTGATACCCCNGTTTTTTCTTCTGAATCCTTACTCCAGATCTGTTCTTTTCTGAAACCAGAAACGATGACGAAGATTTTTTTAATGTGCTTTAAAGCTGGGTCCCCCCCCCCCAAAGAGTTGAAATCAATATGAATAACTAGAAAAAGCAAATTATATTCTTTTTTTAACTTTACAATTGAAATTGTTTCCACAGAAGTCTCAATGAATCTAATTATTAATTTAAGACTAAATGTTCATATTTGCAATTTTAGTTAATTTTTATAATTAATTAAGATCAAATTACGGAGAGTTGTTTCATATTCCATAAATAGATTCAGAAAAAACCTTCAAAACCTCCATTTATAGAGTCGCATGTCCGATTCACAACAATGTACCCATTAACCTTTATCTGTTCAAGAATGAATTCATACTTTATTCAAAGCTGAATATTTCCCACGTTGGATTCTCCATAAAAGTCATTGCGGATTTTTAACTCAAGAGGGAATGCAGGACGTTTACAGAATTTAAAACTTTAAGTTAGAAAAACGATGATTTCTTCCACCTTACTTTTCAGATAGAGAGACATTCTTTTTATTTCAATTAAGACCTACTTGAAATTACGTCTATTGTCACTTTTCAGTCTTTATAAATTTAAAATATTCAATAATATGTTTAATTACCTTCGTTGTAGATAGAATACAAAAATAAACAAAGTAAGTTATTTTTGGTGACAATTTAGGGGGATGGGGATTTGTGCTTCATCCCTGTAATAGCCAACAAAGGCGATCTATTATCAATCAGATCGAATCTGTATTGATTAGACCAATAGCTATTCGGAATGTACTCCAGGAAACCCCAAATATTCATGTACTATAACAGCAATTTAGAAGCTATACAGTGCTATAATGTACAAAATGATTTTAAACACAAGATTTTCCTCAACCTAACCTAACCCTAAATTTTGTAGAAAATTGTTGAAATTGAAGATCTGTCCTAGCCGCAGCGCTAGACCAAGAAATTGTCCTAACCTAACCCTGAATAATACAGATAAATATTTTTTTGTTGAAAATAGTTAAAATCTAGGGTCAAAAAAATTGATAAGAGTGGGGAGGGGAGGGGGTCCAAAAATTGGGATCTGTCCTAGAGAACGATATTTAAGATAATTTCTGAAACTAATTTGGTTTTGAACATTGTCAGTAAAAATTATAAAACGCAATTATGTACATCATTGATCCAGTCTATCCTATAGGTAAAGAGTATTTTTGCCTAAATTAACAAATACCTACTGTTGTAGTTGTATAAAAAATGTTTTTCCTACCTTTTCCAGAATTGCCGATACTGTTTAGAAGAAGTTTTTCAGATTTGTCCAATTTTCTTAACTCTTGCGATTCTAGACGCCGTGAGTTCATTTTAAGTATTCCAAACCCCGTAACATCATCTACACTATCTTCACCCATCTTCAACCCAACTTGAACTGCTACTGCTGCTTTACTCTCTAGTTGAATATGATCTCATTGTTTAGAATTATGAAGGCTCAGCTCACCGGTTCACTAAACTAAACTTGCGCCTTCAGTTGAGTGCAACAGCTAATTTGAAAGCCGGAGAAAGCTAAAATTCACGCCGACGCCATCTATACGCTGAGCTTTGCATTAAACAGGGGGTTTGTTTAATCGACCGTCGTTTTTCTCTGAAAATGTTTATTTTGATTTTTGTCATTTTAAAAGTTAGTAATAAACAACGGCGTCAGTGGCATATATGGGGGGTTATAAGTACACCCCCCCCCTAGAATCCTGAGGGTAATTACCTCCCCCTTCCCTTGAAACCTGAGGTTGATTCAGGGGGGCGGGGGAACATTAGCCCCCCCTGACAGATTCAGAGAGGGGCGTAGCTCCCCCCTGAATCCTGGAATTTTTTGTTCCTATTTTCAGAATAGCTTCTCAAAAGTATGCTTAAGGAAAAGAAACCCTATACTGCAAAACAGGAAAAATATCTGTCTTAAGAGTCTTAATATATAAACTATAATCTGTGAAAAGTTAAAATTCTAGTTTTTTAGTCTTTAGTCATATATTTCGACTTTTTTTGAGTCTTTTAAGTCAAACAAAATTTTCGCCTCCGGCGCGATTTTNCTTAAATTATGTATCCGCCCCTAGGTTGATTACCCCTCCATAGAATCCTAGAGGAAATTACCCCTGAAAAGCAGGGATTACTTACGTCCTACTCCCTACTCCCCCGAAAACTCAGCAGTTGCCCCCTCCAAAGAAATCATTCACTATTGATTAGTCTGCTTTAACACCTTTAAAAAACAAGCGTAAAGACCACTATTTTCATGAAAATAGAAGTTTTTGAATTCTAAAACCTGAATTTTGAAAAATAATTCCAATTTTTTAGCCTATGTCAGCCCAAGGGGCCCATGAGTTTCCTCAAAAAAATTCACCCCAAATTCGGTTAAACCCTTTTGGCCAGCCATAGCAAACATAGATATGAAAGAAGAGCTTTATTATAAAGATTACAATTGTACTCATAATTTTTCGCACAGTTTTTCATTTTTAAAAATGTCTTTTACTATCTCTATTAAAAATACTAAAACGAAACATATTAAAATGTAGGATTTTTAGAAACGTGTTTTTTTCTGCTAGTTTTGTTTGAATGAGAGTTATTGAGAGATAAAGTATTACTGTATGTTTACGTACCTGTAAAGTATTATATACTTATGCCTGATATCCAAGAAGCCAAATATTTTGAATTTTGCCCCCCCCCCCCTAGGAGCTCCTATAATGCAAATTGCTTTTATTTCTTCTTGCTTTGTCAATTAATCAAATAAACATTAAAAGACTATATTCGAAGCAGAAGGCCAAAATATCATTCATTTGACGGAAACCAATCTCATGACACAAATATAGATTACTGCCAAGCTACAGTGGTAGACGATTATATCAATATAATGAAGACGACTTTCGACTTTAATATTGATTTATATCAAGCTTTTTAACAGCATAGAAACACAAAAACATGGAAACAAAGAGAAGCTGTCAATTAAAAAAGCTTTTCTTTATTTACTTGTAAACTTGTAATTACAAAAAAGCTTGTTAACAATAAAGAATAAAAATGTTGTCTCATTAAATTGATATCATCGCTTATATTTTATCTTTTAAATTAAATTTTACACTGTAATTGGAATATGATCAGCTTACAAATTCAAGTAATAATAACTAACAATTTTTATCACAAGTGTTTTTTTTTTATCACAGAAGAGAACAGTTTTACAGATAAGAAATAAACATTTCTTTCAAGTCTTAAACCTTAATCAACAAACAAATATGAAATCATGTCGTCAAACAAAAATTAAGAAAAATATTCTTCTAAAATTTACAAAAACAATCTACTAAAATTTACAAAAATATCCACTAAAATATACAAAATAATCTACTAAAATTACAAAAAAAATCTACTAAAATTTACAAAAACAATCTACTAAATTTACTAAAATTTTCACTAAAATGTAAAAAATAATTACTAAAATTTAAAAAAAATCTACTAAAATTTAAAAAAAATAATCTACTAAATTTTTTAAATTAATCCACTAAAGTTCACGTAGCACTGCTCCAGAAAAACACCTGTGCTGGCTGAAAAATAAGATTAAGTCTACAACATTGATTTTGAGGATTTAAAATTATAAATCACAGTCATTCAGTAGATTCCTGAATTCGAATGAAAAGTTATTATTTATTTTAAGTATCCATTTAGATTATTTTGTAAAAAGAATTTGGTTTCACAATTTCTAATATATAATTATATTTAAACATATATGATTTATAAGATTATGATGTATAATGTTTAAGTTAAGAAAAGTTCAGTAAAAATATTTTAACGTCGTAAACTTTGTTTTTCCACTATAATTTTAATATGAACTTGTTTAGGAACCCAGCGCTGCCCAGGGTACACATAATTACTACCGCCGTTTACCCGCACTTGACCGGTAAATTAGTTTTCGCTAAAAAAATCGACCCACTAAAATTAGAATTTTAAAACCAAGCTAAGAACATTCCCGTGGCTCACCCGAGTTCCCCAATCAAAATTTAAAACAAATCGGCCCAGGGGTTCCTGAGTTATGATCTGACAAAGAAATAGACAGACAAACAAACATTACAACTTTATATATATAGAAAGAATACATACAAATAACACTTACTGAAATAATGCCACGTTTTTAAAGACTTTTTTAATAAAATGACTATAGCCTTTATTTCAAGTGACCCTTTACTTGCAGATTGTCAATTCCGATTCACAATGGTACCCTTATAACCTTTGATTAAAGATGGGTTAGATATCCTTATTCTTCTATCTGAAAATTGATTATTCTTAAATAAAGAAAATGTTAAGAATTTTCAAGAGAGAAAAACGACGATATCTTCTTGTGAATAGTGGATCGGAAATGTCAATCGTTATATGGAGCACTCTCTAGAGCAGTTTTAAAATCCTTGTTTAGACCATAATTATCTCCATGGGAAAATGTTTAAATATATTTTTTTTTCAAATTATACCTTTCTAAGATGTGAGGCAGGGACTAAAATTTCGTGGTTGGCTAGACAGGCCGCTGAATGACTATTTTCCTGAAAAAATAAACGATTTTATCTTATACATATATCATTACAAATATTGGTATTTGAAAACAAACCTCTAGATCATGTGGAAGAGTGGTTTGTTTCTTCTCTTTTCTAGTGGATTTTTGTTGAACCAAATTTGAGGTTTTCCTATACAATAAACAATGGGTTAACTGTCGTCTTCGCAATTTCATTTAATTAGAAATACCGAGCTAACGATTTTATAATTCGTAACTCTTATTTATACCTTTGAGAGATTTGTTCCTGAACATTTTTCAGCTATATATTGTATAAAGTAGTTATCTCTGATTGTTAGTATGTCAGATCAAACACACATAAACCCCTCTAGCCAGATTTTCCTCAAGTTGCGATTCGTGAACTCGGTTTAAAAATTCGAAGTTTTGTAAGTTGACTTTTATAGAAGAATTTTTTTAGCTAATGCTGATTGATGGGTTCCCAAGCTAGTCATTCATAAAATAAAACAAAAAACAAAAAAAAATCAAAAATTTTAAAATTTTCCTTACAAATATTATTTTGCAAACAATTCATCAAAATTAGACCAAACTTTAGTCTTTAGAACGAACCTGACAATTAGGTGTAAATCTTCAATATCTGTGTAGGGGCAGAGCCCTGCTGAGGATAACGTAGAACAGAACGGACCGGAGTAATTACTCCGGGTTCCCTTTTCTCCGTATAGATGTTTAATACTGTAATCATATCTGAAAGCCTTTTCTTCCCAAACACTTAATCCTCGGTCTAAATTAAGAATTCAAAAATCTTGGATTCAATAATTTCAAAAAATGAAGTTATACATTTTATTCATAAAAATAGTAAAGTTCAATACTTACCACCTCGTATTTTAGAGTAATAATGGAACCAGAACTTCCTTGCTTCACTTGAATCCATCCCGAGTTCTTTGAGGAATAGAGAGAAATAGAATCTAGGATAATGTTTCAGCTTCTCCCCAGTCTCCAGTGTATCTAGGATACGTCTCATACACGCAGGGAAACTGGCGCCGAGCGCCGGTACTTCGTGGAATAATATCGGGTTTCTGTTGATCTTTCGTGATCTTCTTTGGGTTAAACTGTTGTAGTATTTCTCTAGGTCATTAAAAAGTCTAAAATAGTAAGATTTGCAATGTGCATATAATAATAATGATAATAATAATAAATGGTTATCCATCATTCCTTGGGAATCATTTGTGGAGCCCCTATCAGAAATAACCGCCTAAGGACGGAAATTAATGTAACTGTTAGGGTTTAATTGTATATTAGATGATGTGTACGCTGTACACTGTACACTGTACACTGCAGTACAGCTGCACAAAACCATAAATGCAAATAAAAAGACTGAATAAATTTCGTACAGTCGTCTCTGAAGTCGTATCTTTTGTGGGTATCCTTGTATATTATTAAACCCATTTTCCAAATTTACGTCCGCAAGAGAGTTCTTACCTGAGGGTTCGGTCGTCTTCTATTTCTCCTGTCATAACTTTGAGCACATAAGGTTGTGAGTTGATATATCTTGTTAGTTCTGTCTCCAGTATAGAGCGGAATATGGTGACCCACAGTTGAATAAGATTGTGACATCGGAATAGAATAAAACCTTAAAGTACAGTGGTAGGCGATTTTATCAATACAACGAAGACGACGTTTTTATTTAAATTTTTATTGTTAACAAGCATTTTTTCAAATTACAAGTTTACAAGTAATGAAAGAGAAGCTTTTTTATTGACAGCTTCTCTTGACTTGATGTTTCTGTGTGTCCATGCTGATTAACAGCTTGATATAAATCAAAATTGAAATAGAAAGTCGTCTTCATTGTATTGATATAATCGCCTACCACAGTACTATTCTATGAAGAAGTGTTTATAACGAAAGGTGGTGTACAAATAATACGAAATTTGTTTAAATACAGTGGGACCCATTAAACTGTGCAATAGGAAGCCGCCTAGACTGTTATCTATGATTTTAACTAGTCGAGTCTCTAGAATATGTAACACACAAATACACATAAGATTGTATAAACGTCGCTTTCATATTCCACAGTTGCTAAGTCTCTATAGTACTTTTATTTCTATCCGATGTTTCGCTCTGGTGCAATCTGGATGTTTAGCCAGCTTCTTCGGAGAAACCCCGGTTTCCCACTGCATTTAGGGGTCTGAGGAGGACGTTTTCTATAAATTCGCTTCACCGAAACATTGGATAGAAATAAAAGTATTTTTATTTATACCTCTCACTTCATTATAGTGAATCTTAATAGTTGATAATAGTTGATAATGGTTGATAAATGAGCTAAATCAAAAGTTTATCAAGATGTAAGCAGTACTTCACCTTCACTAAGAGTAATCTCTCTACTAGCCACCAGACCAGGAGCAAACTGGAACGGGACGGAAACCTGGAAATTCTGACAAGACTTGAGTTCGGGTTGGGTATCTTGGGATGGATTTCCTCTGGCTCTATGTACATCTGGAAATATTGAAACCTGAACCTGTTTTTCATCCTTCCTATTAATCTATCCATATTTTTCGCTATACTATTTCTCATTGCTTAATACGCTTTTTTTGTTCCACCTCAACTGTTCTTTAAAACTTCTAATATCTTTATTTTTATTAATGATGGATAAGTACAGTGATCTACGTAGAATATAAAATTTTATTTAAAACTCAAATGATAAGTTTCAACAACAATTTCTAGATAACTCAATTAAATGCAAAATACGAGTTCAGAAAATTAAACAAGATTTGTCCTAATTATTATTTTCTCTTTAAAACTCAATCAAGCAACCATTTTAATTTTCAAATCTAACCTTTTTCCTTTCACTTAAATAATAATTATTTTACCTAAATAATGTTGAAGAATTCCAGAATCCAGAATATCACCTACAATCTGGAATTAAAGAAATAAATCTTTGTATCCTGTTGATGTAAACCTTTGATATTTCAAATTATTTGATCCATAAGTTTCATCTTTCAAAGGTGTACGACATTGAATTGGGAAGATATAGGGATCAGAAAGTTTGAATTTGTGGCAAAATCTCACTCCTTTACGATCCAAATTATTCTTTTTTAGATTGGGCAATATCAAATGGCTGATGAAGTAATAATTATGAAAACAGTTTTATTCAGATTCTTTATGTGATTAACCCTGTACACATAAAAAATCGAAATATTCTAATGGAAATTAGTATTTGCCACAAACTATAATTTTTAAATCCCTATATCTTTGCAACCGGATGTCGTAGATCTTTAGTATTTCGAACTATCAATTCAGTAAGATCAAAAGGTCTTAATTTGAAATATAAAAGATTTAAACCATCAGGTTGCAAATATAAAAGGTTAAAAAAATTTGAGTTTGCAGCAAAACCTCAAATCCTTTAAATCCGAACCTTGGCTAGAATATTATACTGTCTGTCCTCTGCGTACTGCAAGGATAGGGTTGAGCGGAGTTGAAGAAATGACGAGTATATCAAGGTTGGTTCCATCTCAACCTCAACCCGGAACAGGAACAATCTGGATTCTGTATCCAGAAAAAACTGTCGCATCCCAGGCCTTCAACCGAATTCAAAGTAAAATTTTAGTCCAATAAATAATATCTGAAAGACTGAGATTATAAAAAAGAATTTATACTTGCGTAATTTTGCTTTATCATCTTAAATGTATTAGACCCTAATAACTCCAATAACTAATCACAGCGTTTATAATTATCTAAAATATTTTAAAGTTAATAAAATTTGTTTTTCAACTTTTAATTTCTAGTTCCTTAAAGCTACAAGGATGAGAAGGGTGCAGTGTGATATTGAGTCCTTATCCGTCCTGTGCAGTATATTTTCGGTATCGGAGCAAACCCTTCCTATACAGTCTCTCACCTCATCTGTACAAAACACATCCATCAGAACAACATATTAGGCATAAATCTTTTAAATTCTGTGTTCATGATGCTCCAAACCTCACAGATGAAAACACAGGTTAAAGTTCCGCAAATTTTGAAAATATATTTCGATCTGGGTAAGCCCTCTTTAATTCTAACGATTTAATAACCATCAAAATCAATATCAAAAAATGTTTAAGCAAATAAACAAAACAAAAAACTTCATAAAAAATGGGTTGCCAAATGAAACAAAAAAAGGGAAACGAACTCAGACTAAATGAGAATTTCAATAACGGATTTATTAGGTTTTCCATTTAAATAAGCTTAGAGTTATGCAAATTAAGTTCTTTGTCTCTATTCTTAAAGTAACTTTAATATGGAATCCGTGATTAGAAATAATTTTTTTTAAAAGATCCAATTAACGAGAATATCTTGATCAGACAAAGGTTTAAGGATACCGTAGTACATCGGGAATGTCACTTCTTTCATGGAATTTCAATTGAAATTACGCCTACAGTCCCTTTAAGATACTGATTGTTCCTTAATCGTCTTAGAATCTGATCTCGAATCCCCATATCTTTGCAACCTAATGATGATGTAAACTTTTGATATTTAAGACCATATCGACTTTTTGATCTACCATAATTCATACTATAAAATATCAAAGCTCTACACATCATTGTGAACCCCTGAAAGGGAATGTGAACGTAATTTCAAGTGAGCCCCCATTTTCAGATTTGTATGCCCGATTCACAATTTACAGACCGCGTAAATCCGCAAACCACCATTATCGAAAAACCACAACAGAAAATTATCTTTTTTAGGTCACATTTAATTACGTTGACAGTCCCTTTAATCAACAACTTGCTGTATCCGGGTTAGGATGTGTTCCTGAGCAGGACGTTTGAGATAGAGCAGAGAGCAGATGTAACCTCTCCCGGCAGAGTCCTTTTAACTTTTCCAGAGTTATATCTCCGCGCATTTTTTTCAAATAAAACATCTGAAACTTGTAATGAGATCAAGGAGAGGTAAAAATGATAATTTTAATGATCTTTATTATATAATAATTATCAAATAAATCACTCGAGAGTAAAATCAAATGGGGAAAAGAGTTTCCGAAATTCTTTAGTGTGCTCCATTTCTTCTTCCTAAAATAAATAGGTCTTAAAAACAAAAATACAAAACTAGTTTTAGAAAAGAGAATAAAAAGCTTGTTTTAAAACTACCCAACAGAAATGGTTTCACGAACTGGTTTAAAAAACAAGCAAACTGCAGTTCAAAAATGAAATAGAAAACTTGTTTAAACCTAAAATCTATACAGCATTTGTTAAACCAAAAAAAGTCTCAAATTGTAAAAATTATAATAAACCACGTTAAAAGTGATAAAATTACTTTAAGAAGACCTTAAAAAAAAATGTGTTGACATATATACAAAAAAATATGGTATATGCAAAAAAAACCACAAAATCAGTTTTAAAAAAGAAAATAATTTTGTGAAGGAAGGCTGTGGGGAAATGGTAAAATATTTACTTGAGATAGTTTACAGGCCTTCCAATCAGCTCTCTCCTCCATATCTAGTAAACTGGGACAACACAACACCTCACGACCAAACTATAAACAAGAGATAATTTACAGGCCTTCCAATCAGCTCTCTCCTCCATATCTAGAAAACTGGGACAACACAACACCTCACGACCAAACTATAAACAAGAGATAGTTTACAGGTCTTCCAATCAGCTCTCTCCTCCATATCTAGTAAACTGGGACAACATAACACCTCACGACCAAACTATAAACAAGAGAATATTGTAAACTTAAAAAAAATTGTTGAGCTAATTTATAATTGATTAAAAAAGGAGAAGATTATTATCGGCCATTGCTATAATGAAAAAATAGGAATCTGGAAAATCCCCATAAATTTGATCAAGACAGGAGCAGATCGCTTATGTTTTCAAAGATGCCAGAGGACAAGGATTTAATGGAAGGAAAGTTATTTCAGAAGTGTACACATCTTTTGTACTGCAGTGTACTGTCTCTGGGCGGTAATGTAAACAAAAGACGGATGTCAAAGCCTGACATGGGATCCATTTTTCACATAAAAAAATCAGTGAAATATTCTGGTCATAGGAAACTATTATGTGAATTATCAAAATTATCAAAATTTAATGCTTTTAACCTCCTCGGATACTAAACGAACACTGATGCATCTATTCTTGTTTACAAATTCCACCCAAAGAGAACTGGTTTCAATGTGTACGCAGAGTATACACGACCGCAATTAACTTTCCTTGCATTACACCCTTGCCAGAGGATGTACTTCCGTACAAATATGACATTTTATATTGCATTTACTATATCCAAATTGGTAATGCTTGCCTTGGGATCAAGTTAAAAGGGTGTTAAAAACCACTTCACACTTTTTTCTCTCACGAGGCTTAATTTTTACCCAATCATATTGAAATTAATATCACAATGTCCCTAAAATGTCGTCCTTAAGCGGTAAAAAAATTTTCGGATTTAATTCTAGTGAGGAGTAAAATCATGACACCAAAGATTAACAATCCATAAATGCTAAGCTTTCTAAAGGGATTGTTCAGTGTTCACCTACTTAAAAATAGTCATAATATCCCTAGTTTTAGAATTAGAAACACACTCAAGCCACTCATGCCACTCATGCCACTCAATGAACATTATAGTTCTCATGAGGTCTTCTGAGTGGTAAGATTGGATTACATGTGTTACTAATTTAAAATTCAGTGATATTGATGGACCAAACCTCTGTAGAGTAAAAAAAGAAGATGTTGGTTCCACATTAATTGAAAATATATTTCGGTCTGGATTAACCCTCGTCAGTTCTAACGATATAATAACCATAAAAATCGACCAAAAAAAATGTTAAAACCACAAGAAAATAAACAAACAAAAAATATTATTAAAAAAAATTGGGCTGTCAAATGGACAAAAGGGAAACGAACTAAGATGGAAAAAAGATGATTTGCAAATATTCACTTTTTAAAAATATTTAAGAAACTACTATTTCTTGAGATTGTTTCTGTCAGGAAGATTAAAAAGCAAACTGTTTAATCTCAAAAATTGGAGTATTATGGAAAGCCAAAGAAAAATGAATTTGGTTCCTCATACAAAGGAAGGTGGTTTTCAATTAGTTGAGGAATCCCTTTATCTAGTCCTTACCTGGAGAGGGAATCCCTTTATCTAGTTCTTACCTGGAGAGGGAATCCCTTTATCTAGTCCTTACCTGGAGAGGGAATCCCTTTATCTAGTCCTTACCTGGAGAGGGAATCCCTTTATCTAGTCCTTACCTGGAGAGGGAATCCCTTGTCTATCCGTCCAAACAGTTTATCTTTGTTTGGAGTTTCTACGAAGAAGTAGGGTTGACCTTGTACAGCCAGCTGAGCAATTGGTACATGACTCGGGATCTAGAAACGTATATATTAGTGCAACAACTATGTACAAGAAAACTTAAAAGTGTAATATTCTTCCATTCAAAGTTCCCAGTCTGTGCAAGTAACGTGCTACCAAAAAAAAAGATGAGACTTTCAACTATTTAACTAAAGTAAAAAAACTTTTAAATATCCTAACATTCTCATTCTTTTTGAGCAACCCTGTAAATTCAAAAGCTGTCGATTGAGGACTGGGTTCTCATAACAGCGTTAAATTTAAAAGTCAGGTATAAATCAAAACTGGCAGATTTTCACCCTAAAATGGTAATTTCCCCAATAAAACGGCATGTTTTCTTGTTAATTGACGGATTTGGTAGAGTTCCCGTCAACATGGACACTGGACAGGTTTGCTCTAAATTACTTGTACTTCGTATTCGTTGTCCCGTCTCGAGTTTTCCAGGGATCGGGCTTAAACTTTTAGGGTACCCTCTCCTTACCCAGGGATAATTGTCTGGGAGGAACCCTGTATCTTACCTCGTTAAGATCCATCTCCCTACTAGAGGCCTGGTCAAGGAACTCCTTCTTTACCACGGTAGCGTCGTCCTTTATGACAGGAACCACCTGGAGCTGGAGATGCTGGCACTTGAAGTTACGCTCGAAGAACACCGGAGCTTTCCCATTCTTTTTAAACATCTTCCTGTTATAGATATCTAACATTTATCAATCCTTACACATCTTCCTGTTATAGATATCTAACATCAAGTTCTTCATATATATCTTCCTGTTATAGATAACAAACATTTAGTTCTTCTTATACATCTTCCTGTTAAAGATATCTAACATTTAGTTCTTTATATAGATATTCCTGTTATATATATCTAAAATTTAGTTTTTCTTATATATCTTTCTGTTATAGATATCTAAAAATTAGTTCTTCTTGCACATCTTCCTGTTATAGATATCTAACTTTTTGTTTTTTTATGTACATATTACTGTTGTAGATATCTATTGTTTATTTCATATATTGTTAATAATTTGCAACATATAGTACTTCCACAACTTCCAAATATCTATCATTTAGTTCTTCATTGCATACATCCTTTTGTTACAAATATCTAACATCAAGTTTATTTCCTTTTGTTATTATTTTTACCTCAGAGCAGATTTAAATTTGTCAATCTCCTGCGATACTTCCTCTGGTAGGTTTACTAGGCATTGATGATGTCCTATAAAAAAAAATATAGTTGTAAAAACTCTCAGAACAAAGTGTTTCTATGTTCAAAACCATTGAATAATGATCTTTAGAACAATAGCCATAGCCATAACAATAATAATAATAATAATAATAATAATAATAATAATAATAATAATAACGATGATGATAATAATAATAATAATAATAATAATAATAATAATAATATTTAGATTTTTTAGCATTTGTTATTCCCGGGGTACTCCAGGGTTCCCTCAAAAAATGTCAGCCCATTCTGTCTAGCCGTTTGGCCAGCTATAGGTGACATATAAATATATATGCATAGAAATATATATAAATGAGCGAAGAGCTTTATAATAATAATAATAATAATTAATACCTATTGGAAGTATCATAACATGATCAGGGGTAAGAGCTCCCTTGGCTAGAGCTAGATAAGAATGTTCTCCGACGGAAACTATTAAATGCTTCTCCACCTCCGGAGACGAGAGACAGAACCAACATGGTCCAACCGGAGCTTTTCGTCCGGAATCCTAAACTTCAAGATTAAAGGGACTGTCATTGTTATTTGAAGTGATCCATCTTGTTTAAAGGGAGCCCTCAAAGATTTGACTGATCAAGTATGATATAGAATTATTTCCTTTTAAACTGTTTATTTTGATTTGTGATTTCACTGGAAAAGTGACTTTCTTACAAGATGATCAAAATTTAAAAATTATTTCCATCTTTGCATGAATGTTTAAATTTTCACCTCTCCGTCATTCTTTCTCTTCTTCCCCTTCCCCTCGTCCTCCATCTTGGCGTTCATATCGAAGAAGAACTGCTGCTTCTTTTCCCCCTGCACCAAATATTACAGTGTTACGCTTTAGATTAAAAGGAGAGTGCACTGTTTTATAAAAATTTGTGAAAATTAATAAAATCTTTTTTTAATTAAAACTCCAATTAAACAATTTTTTTAAAGATAAATATTACAAAAAAGGGAATAAGAGGTTTCTTACAAAAATGTTATTTTTTCAAACCAGTTCTATCTAAAATCACAAACAAACACAGTGCAAGAGCTTTAAAATCCCAACAAACAAAAGTCAAGAACTCTGAACCAGCTGAATAGAATCATAAAAGAATAAAAAAGCTAAGAAGTCGTTATCTACACACTTCATCACATTTAAAATCAGAAATAACAAGAACTCCTGTGCTGGACCTTGTACCTGGATTTCAATATGTTCCTGGAGAAATGGTATCTCTGTAACTCCAACAGGTTGAGCAACTAGCTCAGCTCTCTCCATGTTCTTCAAGGGAGTGATGTTGAACGCGTAGAGCCATTTCTTCTTCTCTTTGTTTCCAACCTTACCCAGAGCAATAAACCTTAAAATAAAGGAGTTGAGTCTTTGCCACGCCCACAAACTCTGATTTTACAATCTCTATATCTTTGCAACCCACTATCGTAGACCTGGAATATTTCAAATTGTAAATTTTGTAAGATAAAATAATCTAAATTCAAAGGTTTACACCATCAGGCTGCAAAGATATAAGAAATCAAACTTGAGTTTGGGACAAAGACTGAATTCTTTCATCTGTGCCCTTGTTCTATTCTTTTTTTATGCGTTCGTATCGAAAGTTTACTTGTCTGTTTTTTATTATTATGGGTAAAATCTACCTTGTATCTGGTTTAGTCTATTCTAGGATAAGTTTCACCTTGCGCAAGGATAAGATGTACCTTGTAATTGGTTTAATCTGCTCTAATATAATATTTACCTTGTAACTGGTTTAGCCTACTCTAGGATAAGGTTTACCTTGTAACTGGTTTAGTCTGCTCTAGGATATGATTTACCTTGTAACTGGTTTAGCCTACTCCAGGATAAGATTTACTTTGTAACTGGTTAAGCCTGCTCTAGAATAAGATTTACCTTGCAACTGGTTAAGCCTGCTCTAGGATAAGATTTACCTTGCAACTGGTTTAGCCTTCTCTAGGATAAGATTTACCTTGTAACTGGTTAAGCCTGCTCTAGAATAAGATTTACCTTGTAATTGGTTTAGCCTTCTCTAGGATAAGATTTACCTTGCAACTGGTTAAGCCTGCTCTAGGATAAGATTTACCTTGCAACTGGTTTAGCCTGCTCTAGGATAAGATTTACCTTGTAACTGGTTTAGCCTACTCTAGGATAAGATTTACCTTGTAACTGGTTTAGCCTACTCTAGGATAAGATTTACCTTGTAACTGGTTTAGCCTGCTCTAGAATAAGATTTACCTTGTAACTGGTTTAGCCTACTCTAGGATAAGGTTTACTTTGTAACTGGTTTAGCCTACTCCAGGATAAGATTTACCTTGTAACTGGTTTAGCCTGCTCTGCTCCTGTCTGATGGTTTCTATACGGAGTTCTCTCATAGTGTTCACCGTGTAGTCCACAGAAATGATATCTAAATATTCCTTCTTTAAAGGGACTGTGCGCATACTTGGGTAGTGTGAGCTGTACTAATCACCGAGAAGAGGATTCTAATTTTAAATACCTAATCTATATATACATTTAACTTGTTTGGGTGTCTGTTTGTTTGTTTGTGTCCAATAAACGCCAAAACGGCTGAACCGATCGGGCCCAAATTTTGTGTGGGACCTCACGTGAACCCAGGGAAGGTTTATAAATGATCAAAATATCAAAAATTAGTGTTTAAAAGTTTTTATTTTTATAAAATTTTGAAAATACACGAACAAATATTATGAAATCCGCAAACTTTTTTCTTTTCTTTTATACTGTACAAAGAGAAGATGCTCACGGATAAAGCCACAATTAAAAGTTGAAAAAGAATATGGGTGCAAAGCGCCCTAAAAACCTAGTTTTTCATAAAAACCAATTAAAAAAATGACCAAACAATTGAAATATTTATCAGGTAACTATTTTTCGGTTTAAAATGTTAAAAATGACTAATTAAACCTCTCACTAAATATGTAATAATTGAGTTTGAATTTAAAAGTGTGATTAAAAGAGACATTCATAAAATCTTATTTTTAAAATAAAGTTAAAAACTGATAACATATTTGTATCACGTAACATATTACCTGGGTCGAGAAAGAAGAGCTAGTCTGGAAACAAGGGCGGATCCAACCTCTAAAAAAGAACATAATCATTATTTGAAAATTATTTTATTTAGATTTTTTTCATAATTTTCCGATTCTAACAAAAAATTAAGCAAGGAGTGGATAAAGGGAATTAAACTCAAATTTTCTAGTCTCTACATCTTTGCACCATAATGGTGTACACTTTTTATGATACAGCAGAATTCATAGCTTGCAATATAAAAGTTCTACGACATGGAGTTGCAAAGATATATGGATTGAATATTAAGAGTTTGCGGCAAACACTCATTTGCTTTAGAAAAAAATTAACTTTAGCTCCATACCTAGATCTCTAACCTCTGAGGCCCGAGTCCGATTACTGATTCCCTTCGGCCAGTCTGAGGTTAGAAGAATATCTACTCCGGGATACCGGGAATCATCCCATCTCAGGTTACCCTGAACAGTAGGATCTGTGTATATAGGATATCCTGTAGGAGGGAATGGATGAGATGGAATTATCATCGTTATTTGTTTTATTTTCAAAATATCATTAAAGATATAAATTGTACTTACTATGTATATAAATATAACATTTGTTTCTTCGCCTGTTTATCTTTAGACCTGTAGGTTTTTTGAAGTCTGTAATTGACTCTGTTTACCTCTAGATCTGTAGGTTTTGTAATGAGTAATTAACTCCATGTACCTCTGAAGCCTGCAGATTTTGTAATGAGTAATTATATTAACTCCATGTACCTCTAAAGCCTGTAGATTTTCTAATGAGTAATTAACTCCATATACCTCTAAAGTCTGTAGATTTTGTAATTAGTAATTAACTCCATGTACCTCTAAAGTCTGTAGATTTTGTAATGAGTAATTAACTCCATGTACCTCTAAAGCCTGTAGATTTTGTAATGAGTAAATAGAAATTTTCTGAATCAGCATTGCATTTTAAATTAAAAAAATCATTATAACATTTTTAACTTTAACAAAAATATGAAATAATAAAAATAAATGAATATGACAAACCTATCGGAGTTATCGGATCTTGAGGTAGGACTGTTCTCTGAACTAGGGCAGGTATCTCCTCCCAAGAACTCCGGTCGGAGAAGGAGAAGAGAACAAGAACTCCGTGTGCTCCGTCCTTGCAGGACGGATACATGTGTCCGTACTTTTTCATTGCTCCAGCCCCCGTGTCCCAGATATTCAACTAGGATTGCGTAAATAAACTACGTATTAAAAGAAAAATGAGCCACATTAACGTACAAGGGTGTAAAGTTATAAGAATTTCCCCCCCGGAGTGAATTCTTATATAACCCTCTGTATTTACAAAAACTTCTTTAACAGGGTGTTCCTAAATAACTAAGTTTACCTAGAATATAAACCGGGATTGGAACCTTGCATCTCCCTGTCTTGTAATCCTGCCAACCCAGGTTTCCTGGTCCAAAGAAGGATCCAACGCAGAGAAGCATCTCAAACGGACCCGCCTACAGGGATACAGGGTTTACCACAAAGGATGAGACTTTAATGAGAGAAAACTCATTAAAATTGACAATTTGAAGGTTAAATTCGTTGTTCTGTCTGGAATACAGTTTTTTCAACGGGTACGTTAAAAGTTGCTTTAGGTTGGAAACGTATTTTCACTATTTTTAAAAATTCTTATGGTCTCTACAAAGTTCTGAAAATGGGTTAAAGACTTTCCTGGATGTTGAAAAGGTTTCAAATTGGTCAATTTGTTTGCTGGTATTTTAAACTGTATTCGGTTTCAGGGATTTCTTAAAGTACCTCTATATCTTTAATTGCCTTATTTTTTACTTCCTCATTTCAAATAACTTGCTATAAAAACTAATTATAGCACATAGTGCTAAAATAATAATGTTATAGGTAATTTAATGAAACGTTTGTGTACTTGTCTTATTTCAATGGCTATTACATGTGCTATAATGTACAGCTAATTTAACTTGATAGCACGATGATTACTTTATAGCACGTTCATTATGAAATTCACGATGACGTGATTAAGAATGATAAAGTAGTTTCATAAAATTGGTTTTTAAGTTTCTGAAACTGGTTAAAGGTTAGATGGTTTTTTGAAAATATTATATTTTTTGAACCTAACTGTGGAATGAATTTAAAGATTCTGAAAATAGTATTTGAGGTTTGTGAAATTAGTGTAAAAACCAGCTGTCGGCTAAAATACCCATTAAGAGAAACAGTTCTTGATTAACAATGAAATTTCTTTCAGTCAATATGAAATTCTAAAATAATAATTAAAAAAAAAACAATAAAATCATTCCGACCTTTTTGTTGACAGCCTCCACCTTCTTGAAGAGGGAGGCAAGGTTGCCCTCGGCGTCCCCCGACACCAAGATCTTTAAAGACATTTAAATCTGAAAATTTTTTCAAAAATAATAAAAATTTATTTTCTTTATTTCAAGTACAAAAATAAAAATATAGTTACAAAACACATATAACAATACATAGTAACTGGTTGCAATGTGTGGGAATACATTATCTTTCATAAAAGGGAAAATGGATATAATATTTTTTTGGAACACTCGAAGTTGTTCACTAACATGAATTCAATAATACTGAATATTTCTATAATACTGAAAATGAATTACAAATTTAATTGGTCCATTGTTCATAGATTGATGGCATGCCTGGGTTTTCTGTTCGCAATCCATAACTGCTCGCATATTGTATTTAGCACCGTTGCAACCTAAAAATTTGTTAAGATCATCTTATCAACTAGATTTTTGTTTTTTTGAAAATAGGGGTTGGATTACAAAAAAAACCTTTGTTTCCGGTTCTGGTACCGAATAAAAAGGGAGGCGGTCGGAAAGTTTAAAATTAGAAGGGTTAAAGAATCAAACTCATTCTTTTTGAAGAAAAAAAGATGGGACTCAGTGCTTCAAGAAAATACCAGCTCATAACTTTTTAGGTTTGTTTTCTCTAGGTCACTATTCAAATCACTTTGTTCGGATTTACAATCTTTACGAGAAAAGATCTTATAAAAGAGATCACCACTCACCAGCGCGGACTATTAATCAAGCTGGAAAACAATTATTCCCGGCCAAACCTAACAATTTCGTTTTATATAAATAAACACAGACCGAGAGGAACTATTTTGAACCTGGAGGTTTACTTACCTTGAGTAATTGAACAGTTTTATATTTGGTATTCTTGAAGCACCATATCAAAAAAAATAACTGTCTTAAAACCATTTCAACTAAATTTAAAATCTTCCGTCGCGTTCCCATTCTGTAACCCGGTTCCTCAATCCCAAATACCTCCGTGATGCTACCCGGATTTGAGGAGTTGGTTTGATTTCTCACACAAACAACCGGAATATTCCAGTTCTGTTCAAACTCCGCAATTTCTCCCGCCGAGACGGTTGTCTCAGCTAGATTCCCAAAACGGTTTCCAACAACTAAAAACAAAAATTTAAACTACAGAAAATTAGGTAAATTAGGCATGAATGATTTGGATTTCCGTATCCCCATACATATAACTAGAAATTTTCTGAATCAGCATTGCATTTTAAATTAAAAAAATCATTATAACATTTTTAACTTTAACAAAAATATGAAATAATAAAAATAAATGAATATGACAAACCTATCGGAGTTATCGGATCTTGAGGTAGGACTGTTCTCTGAACTAGGGCAGGTATCTCCTCCCAAGAACTCCGGTCGGAGAAGGAGAAGAGAACAAGAACTCCGTGTGCTCCGTCCTTGCAGGACGGATACATGTGTCCGTACTTTTTCATTGCTCCAGCCCCCGTGTCCCAGATATTCAACTAGGATTGCGTAAATAAACTACGTATTAAAAGAAAAATGAGCCACATTAACGTACAAGGGTGTAAAGTTATAAGAATTCCCCCCCCCCCCCCATGAAGATCTGGGGAAAAAATGAAAAATTAGACATCAAAAGGCAAATTTCTTTCTTTGCCATTTTTAATACTTTTCACACAAAAATTTATTTATTTTCCACTGAAAATCATTTATTTTTCTAAAATTAACGAATAAAACCCTAACTTCCGCAGGGAAAAAATATTTTAAAAAGAGGGGGGGGGGGGGAATTTTCAAGAAAATATACACTTTGAAAATAAGAGATATTTATCAGGCCTAATTGGCCAAGAGACCCTAAATATAAAACGCAAAGGAAAATGCAAAATAACATAATTATCCCAAGGAAAAACGTAATAATATTACATCTATCAACGGCAGTCATTTCAAAGACAACTTCATTTAATTGTTATATTTTGAAAAAAGTAATGTTTTCCTCTAAAATATTTTTTTTTTTCACACTTTTTTCCAATAATTTTGGAGAAAAAATTTTTTAGAATTGTAGTTTATATTTGTTGGTAAGAAAATTTACAGAATACCTTGAATATACGAAGATTATTTTGTAGTTTAGCAGGCCAATAAACAGTCGTGACGCGTAAACCAGGACTTTCTCCGGCTTGTCTGTTCCATGCGGGAAGACCAGCCAGCCAGCCGGCCACCGCCGATTTTCCAACACCAGTCTCCCCAACCAAAAATACTTTGTACTCTACACATTCTAAAAATTTATAAAATTTATTTTTTAAAGCGGCAAAATTGTTAATTTCTTCTTAAAGGGAGTGTTGGAGTGTTTGTGAATAATGAAAGGGGGTATAGCTTTTAATACCTATTCAAAAAATAATAAGCCTGTACTCCAATTTCATTTTTCCCAAACACTCCCTTTAATTAGAATTGATTTAAGAGTTAATCATTGTTATTATTTATATTGTTTTTACCTATAGAAGGTGGGATATTAGGATATTCCAGTATACCATACAACCGTCTATTTCCTGTAAATCAAAATAAATATCATGTAATTTAGATAAAATTATAAAACCCAGCTCTGTTAAATAAACCCTTGTTACAATCAAACCTTCCAGATTTCTCAAATTATTTTTTCAATTTTCATGTAAAATATAAAAAACTGTTTAAGAGTGCCATTTACGATTCACAGCGATTATACCACTTTAGTATTGTTAAAAGTATCAATAAGCTTTTTAATTTCCAACGTTACAGAGAAAAAAACCAAGAACTGGAAAATAAAAAAGCTCAGATACTAGGAAATGTGAGAAACATTTACGGTTTTAAGTTAGGGGTCCCTTAAACAACATGGACAATCTTTTTCCAAAGGAACGAAAAGTACATTTTTTTATCCTTTTTTTGTGTCCAAACACCACGAAAACGACTGAACTGAGTGGGTCCAATAATTGTGAAAACTTACACGACTAACGGAAGGTCTGTGGCTAAATTGAAAAAAAAATAACTTTTACAAATATGCATTTCCAATGAAAACAGGAAAATCCTTGAAATTTGTTATTGTACTTATGACTAAAATTTACGAAGAAAGGCTAGAAATGGCAGGTGGGTCAGCAACCAAAAAGCTGAGATTAATTGTATTTAGACTCGCCCCGAAAATTTAATTTAGGTGTAACCCCGAGTAAATACAAAACCTGTAGTTGGATGAGCAAGATGAGCAAGTAAACCTTGACCCTCTCCACTCTTATACCAGTCCGGAGACAGGACGGATCCACGGAGCATCCTCAGATATTCTACTTACTCCGGGTGCATATTAATCCAACCATGCTTTCTGAAAAATATTTTTCCTAAAATCCAAAAATAATCAAATATATTTCTCAAGAAAATAACAATATTTATGTTACATGTATCACAGAGATGTTTTGTTTAGAATGCTGAAAACAACTCGTCTATTTCTTCTAGCACTCCAGTATCCCCCATACCGTGTGCCTCCTCAAAGTCGAGGATGGGTGCAACGGTTGTTTTAGCAACAGGTTCCGAATCCAATTTTGAAGAAGTCTCTTTAACTGCCATTTCTCCGACCATAAGAAGCTGAGCTATCAGATCTCTCTCCTCGTCTGTAACCTGAGCCTTCTTCAGGTGGGGTTTGGTCTCCGTCTTGGGTTTCTGTTTCTCCACCTCTTCTTTCTTCTGTCCGAAACCAAGCAGTTTCTTCTTTGTATTCTTCTCAGCCTTGCGTTTCTGTTTCTCCAGGATTTTGTGAACTTTCTTTTGTTTAGATTTTCTGATGTTGATTTGTTTGAAGCTGTCCAAACTTACCGCAGGAACGACAGGGGTAGGTGGTGATGAGGGAGCAGGAAGGAGTGGAGGAGTTTTGGGAACTTCGGGAACGGTTTTGGGGATGAGAGGAGATTTTGCTCCTGGAGATCGACTTAACCTCTCCTGGTGTCTTAACCTAGGAGTCAGGACCGGAGAATCTATGTCAGGTTCATCAATACTATCTATTTTGCAGCCAAAGTGTCTCCTGGATTTGTTCAGTAACCGGCTACCCGGCCGGTCAGATCGACTTCCAGCCCGACTTCCTGGTCGACTGTCGGACTGACTTGGCGGTCTATCCATCGCACTTCCAGGTCTCGAGCATTGAGATATACCTCGAACCATCTCATTCATTTCTTCTGCTGGAACATTTTGAAATTTTACTTTTCTGGGCGAACTTTCAGTCGTTTTATTTTCACCTTTTAAACTGGAAACCTTTCCATTGGTCAGAGGCTTCTCAGAATCTCTGTTAGAATGTACTTTAGACTGAACTTCATCAGGGGTTGGATTTCCTTCTTCATCCATCATTCCGTATTTCTTCCTAAGACGGTCAGATGTTCGCACAGAATCATCATGCACTGAGGCTCTAAGGTAACTATAGCGACCACTTGTTTGCAACACGTCGTCTTCGTCGTTAGAACTTGATTCACTAGTCGAAGGTCTTCGCCGTTGCTTTCTAGATTTAAGAAGACTTGAGAGTTTTAATTTGCTGGCAATTCTTTTCCCAGTGTCCGGATCTGAGCTTTTTGTGTCCAGGACATGGTCCACCATTGAAATGACGGTTTCATTTGGGGAAATATTTTCATCATCGTCGTCATCATTATCGTGCTGACCCTCTCTCACAATCTTAGCCTTGGAAACAAAATGGCGTTCCCTCACCTTTACCTTTGGCATTCGGCCGCCAAAAACTCGTTCTTCTAATACTCGTTTCGAATCATCCTCGTCTGATAAATACAAGTTGTCAGATTTCTTCTTTAATTCAAGATCTTCATCAAACTCGTTCTCAGATATATCCAGCTCTTCAGGACTATCAGTTTCCTCCAACAGTTCTTGCTTGATCTTAGCCTTGGATTTATCAACGAGTACACGGATTCTCTTCTTGGGATAATTTTTCTTCACCATTCCAGCTTTATTGTCCTTCATCCCTCTCTTGGTAAAGCAGGATTCAATATACCGGATCACTTCAGGCTCTAGCTTTGACCTGGCCTTGACTGCATCAGAGAAGTACTGGGTCGGCTTCTTGGTGTACCCGGATCTATACCTAAATTCTCCCGCTTTTTCACTCACAAGTGCAACAACGTACTTGACGTCCTCCTCGTCCTTCACATAAACAGGGTTGAAAGCAATCTTGACTCCGTCCATGGGATTCTCGAAGAAGAACTGCAAACACTTATCCCCCTGGCCAACTCGAGTGGTCTGGGATAAAGGTTGGACGGATTCAAGAACTGCAACACTAGTCCCATGATTCTCAATAACAGGAGAAAGGGGAAGTTCAAGTTTGACCGGAGGCTTTTTGACGTCAATGACGGGAGATTTGCCTCCGATGGAGGAGATCATTTTAGCAGCAACAACCGGAGGCAAGGTTTTAATATAATCTGGCGGAGGCCGATCTGGTTTATCGAGCTTCTCGATTGTTTCCTTAGAAAGTATTTGAATTAAATCTGGAATAACGGGTTCTTTACTGTTTCTATCAAACAACTCCTTACAGAAGGCGTTGAATTCAAAATTATTGGTATTGTAGTTAGTTCTAATAAAATCCAAACAATCTGGCACTGTAAGCCTGTACATGCTTGTCACATGATTAACCTTCATGTAAACCTGGAAGAAGAAATCAACGATGTCCTTTAATTGCTCCTCTGGAGACACCTCCTTCTCCTGGAACAAGGCCTGCAGGGGTTCAGTCTTGTTCCACTTTTTCATTAGGTCCTCCATGTAATGAGTAAAGTTAGTGTATAGCTCCGAATCTACCCTCCAATCCTTCCAGATGAACCAACCTGGACCGAAGGTCGATGGTGCCGGTTCTTCCACAACCACCTTTTTTCGTAGTTTCTTTCTCCCTGGTTTGTGATAAATAGTCTCAGCTCTCATATTGTGCGCTTCAATCTGATCACTGTCAGCGGTAAGAAAAATCTTGTTAGAACCTCGGTTTTCAATCTCAAGGTTGTCTGAAGCATTGGGTAGATCTATACTCATGTTTTGGGCAACATGAAACACACAGTTAGACATAGGAGTCGGTGCTTCAACAGTAGGGGGAGGTTCGGTGTAAAGTGAGGAGGAACCAGACCCAACCTTACGAACATGAGCAAAATCCGGATCATCGTCTTCAAAAACCATGAGAACAAGAGTAGGGATTGTCACGCTCGTCTCCTGTGGAGTTGGTATAACAGACGCTTTGATATCTATCCCTGTATTCAACATTAGTCTGTTACTCAATGATTCCATCAGAACTGGTATTTCCGAGTCAGTTTTTTGATCTTGTTTTACATCCTCACGTTCTTTCTTCTTAGGTCGTCTTTTGTTATTCGGTTTATTTTTACCGAGCACGCTCTCAAAGCACTCAGCGCCATCTGCTGCAATAGATGCATGACTGATATCCTCCACGCTATCCATCTCTGGGATGATAGAATGATTCATATCCTCCTCCTGCTCCTCCTCGTGGTCTGGTCCACGGGGTGTGGCAGGCATAGGAGACATTGGTTCACTTAGTATCATGCAGTATTTAGGAGATGGAACCCCATGCTCCGTAAACCCTGGTCGTGGTGAGGGCAAGGTTCGAGGAGAATGATAACTCCGAGCAGGTCCTAGAGGTTTCTTAAACAAGGATATATTATCCTCAGGCGTGTTCTCGACAATTGGAACTGTTGCAGTTCCCAGACTTGACTGAATACTGAAAAATAATTAATTAATTATAAAATATTTCTCTACATCGTTGTAACTCTTCTGTCGATGTAATATTAAGTTACCCTCCATTTAAATAGTAACATGTCTTATTCACAACCTTAATCTTATCAAAAATATGGAGGATAACTTCTGATACTTTCTCTATTGTTTCTGATACAGAGAAACTTCAGATGAAAATAAACAGTTTTCAAAAACAAAAAAAAATGGATAGCTAATTTATTTTTGATCAGACTAAGAAAAGAATGGTACTAATTTGAATCGGACATGCCACTCTTTCAATGAAGGGTCACTAGAAAAAACTTTTCATTCCTTTTCAGATTTGATTTTTTCTAGTAGTTAACAAATTAAACCTGGAAGATTGACAGTCCATATCCATCTCGATCTCAGTTTCCTCAGATTCTTTCTCCGAGATAGACATTTCATCCGACTCACTAAATAACATAATTATTACTGATAACTAATATTTCGACAACATAAAATGATCAAGTCATGACGTGAAATCTTTATAAATATTAAGGTTACCGATTTGAATCGGGCATTGCCATCTTTGCATGGAGGCCTCCATACAAAGATTGGTCATTTGAAAATACGCTTACAGTCCCTTTAAGTAAAAACTGGACATATCTGGATATAATACCTTATATTTGAAGTATTCAGGGTGTCCTTTCCTTCACTTTTCCTCGGAGATCTTTTCCTCTTCTTCTCCCCCTCCATCTTGACCCTGTTCTCCTTCATGGACTTCTTCGTGAAGCACTTCTCCACATGCTTGATCACACTCCTCTCAAGTTTACTTCGGGAGACAACAAAACTTCTTTTTAAACCTAAGAATTGTTTGATTCAATTTCAACATAATTATTAATTATTATAAATCAGAATTATCAAATTTGCAACAATAATGAAAACCTTTCTCCAGATTTGGAAGATTTTTTAAAATATTTTCCACGCATTTTTAAAAAACATATTTAATCTTTAAAAAATGAGGAAAGCATAACTTGCAGAGATACCCTTTTTTAAAAGTATTTCAACCTTAAATATTGTTCTTCATTAATGTTATAAACCCCCCCCCCCCCCCATCCCTCTATTCTGAAAAATGTAAATTTTTGCAAAACTGATTTTTAGATTTTCTATTGAAAACTACTGTTTACCTAAATTTCCTTGGATTTTGTAAGCTTTAAACTTAAATTTCTCCGCCTGCTCCGTCACAATGTTCACCAAGTGCCCCATGTCGACTTCAGGTACAAACACCGGGGGAAAAACCGCCAGGGAACCCGTCACAGGATCGGAGAAACTAATTTGAGCACACCGACTCCCAGCCCCGGTTCTTGTCTTGGTATCCAGTCCATCCTGAGCTGGGATGAAGTTGATCTGAATCTCCTGATCCTCGTACATAATCTCACACTCCGGGCTCCGGGACTGCAGTTTATCCGGAGTATGAACTTCGTCAAGAACGGCCTCATTTACAACTATAAAGTGGTCCATAATCGAACCATCTTCCCGGAGAGGATCCTCTTGATCAGAATCAGGAGACATTCCTTCAGGTTCTACAGTGCCAGCATCTATAGGAATATTTTCAGGATTTTCTACGGTTTTTAATTTTTCTAATTCAGCCTCGGAATCTTCTTGTTTTCTTTTACTGGTTGAACTAGGAACAAATACTGCAGCGATATCGGAACCTCTATTCATCTCTTTACTACAAGTATTATTGTGCTGCTTTCTTCGATCCTTTCTTTTCTTCTTCTTTCCTCTCTTTTTTATCTTCCCAGCACCCTTACCATCTATCAAAAAAAAAATTAATATATATTTTTTAAAAGATTTGTTTCGGAGGTATAAAAAACTTACCATCTGTGCTGCATTCTGATATTGTAGACATACTTGAACATTCACTCACTAAACTTTCCAGTTCAGAATCAGAACCTTCAAATTCATCCATCTCTTCATCCTCATCTTCTTCATCCATCACGCTCTCATCCATCCCGGAGTCTAAAAATATCATAAAGTTATCAATCAATGAATAACACATCCTCTTTTTGCTCCTTATTTTAACTCTCCCTGAAAGGCCTTTAGTCTAAAGAAAGAAAAAAATTTCGAACATGATTTACATAATTATCCTCTCGCAGGACTGGGGGCTGGGGTAACAGCTGCATGATGCGAAATCCAGCATGCAGCAGCCTGACCCAGGTCGTATTTACCAGTATACGACCTGAAGCTTACATCTCATTATCTGATGGGTCGGTATACTCGTTTTTTCTAAGACCATTTAGAGGACAAATGAGGCCCTCCGTTAAAATATATTTAAATCCATCACAAGTTTTCTGTTTCTCTTCCTGGACTTCAAATTCTCATTTCGGATTTGGAAATTTAATGCTTAGAGGGACTGTAAGCGTAATTTCAAGTGACCCTCCGTGCAAAGATAGCAATTCCCGATTTACAACAGTACCCTTAAAAGCTTTGTCTGATCAAGTATGAATTTGATAGCCATTATCCATGTTTTTGTTTCTTTAAACTATTTATTTTCATTTGCAGTTTCTCTGCGAAAGTGACATGCGCATTGCAACTCCTTATAAAGTCAAAGGAGAAATCATCAAAACTTTTTGAGACAGAAAAACGAAGGCATCTTCCACAATCGGAAATTGTCATCTTTGCAAGGAGGATCACTTAAAATTACGCCTACAGTCTCTTTAAAATAAACCTTGTTTACAATATACTAAACCCCTTGATATTTTACCTTGAGCTGGTGTTAGTTCGGGAGTTTGTGTCTCCAGCCTTGAATTAAGAATGTGAGCAGCATGTTTAGGAAGACGGATTGGTTGTCTGACCGCTACAGGAATAGCTTTAAAAAAATCCCGGTCATCCAGAGCGCGTTTGGGTTCACCCTCTGCTCCAGATGCTGATTTAGCTTGTGTTGAACCAGGTTCGGGTTCGGTCTGACAAGAACTTTCATTACATTTCTCTAGAATAGTCTGAGGTAAGAGTTCATCACAGTTTAGCGGATTTTCTACAGGTTCTTCGGGAACATCAGCAGATGGTTCTTCACCAACTCTATTATCAAGAACTTCACTAACTTTATCAACAGGTACTTGTTCACTTTCTTCTAGGGGTTTCTCAGGGAGGTCAACAGCTAGAGAATTCTAAAATTAAACCAAAATAGTTATAAGGTCTTAAACTAGTTTTCTGGGGGTAAGTTCCCCCCCCCCACTAGATGTTTTAACAAATAAAAAAAGATCCTTGCACATTAGAATTAATAAATTGTAATTCTTACCCTAAAGTTGTGATTATCATCTGAAATCCTAGGTTTCTTTTGATTCGGGGAATTGATTTCTTCTGGACTATCCTTTAAATCTCCTTTTCTCTTTTTCGAACATACATCTTCGTCTTTAAATGTAACCTGCTCTTTGCTGTACTCAGAGAACGGCCATGGACACTAAAAATAAAAAATATTCTATTTTAGTTAAAACTAAAAAGTCACATCAGAAAAATCGAGATTTATATGTTACTTTCAGCTGGTGCAATCAGGGGCTTATAGGGTTTTGTTTCGGGAGGTGGGTCTTAACCAAAGGCGACAACCAACCAACCAACCAACCAACCAACAAACCAACCAATCAACCAACCAAACAACCAACCAATCAATCAATCAATATATTAATCAATCTATTAATCACTCAACGAACCAATTCGCAATAAAATGACATATCATTTACCTTATCGCTTTTGCACATGAGAACAAAGCAACCATCCTTCATTCGGAACTTCTTGACCTTGTTTTTCTGTCCTACCCCCTCACACTGGGGGCAGTACTTCGGGGGGTTGAGCAGGTCCAACATCCTGACACAAGAAACTTAATAAATGTTTTGATTTTAGTTTGTTGACGGTTCCTAGACCTTGACTGTCAATAACAAAAGAGGGCAAACATGAGGCAATTAAAATATTTGTTTTGGTATATTCCTAGTATACGATTTTTGGAGGGGGGGTCCAAAAATCGTATACTCGGACGGATACAGGGTGAGAATATATCTTTCGAATTTAATGTACTTTGAATAATAGTTGAAATGTGTATCACTTAATGAAAGACCCAACCAAATTTAGAAGAAGTGAAAAAGCAGTTCACTCGATAAATAATAACTTAAAATTAAAATCTACTACATAACACTCGATATGTGTGTAACATCCGAAGAAATACGGTCCAGTACCTGAACCATTTATTAAAATAAGTAAAATTTGGAGTTCACTTGCTCAAAAGTAAACTTAGAAATAAAGTATACAAATTCACATTTAACTTACTTGATTGGAATTGCTTATTAGTCAGTTTTACTGAAATCTCCGAAATTCACTATTTCAGAACGTTTAAACGAAATATTTAAATACTCAGACGCCATCTCTCTGTAGAACTAGCAAAGATACTTTCGCAATGGGCAGCTGGTCCTGGGATGCTTGCCCTGAAAGGCTGTTACTCTAAAACAAGCTTAGATGGCGTTAAATGCAAGCTTGAGAAAGTCAATAAGCATGTATTGCTAGAGACATCTAGCGAAAATATTTCAATGCAGATCTTTATTTTCCGTAAATAAACACAACTCCATGAAATAATATGAAAAAAATATCAATAAATTCATAATCATAGTTTTAAAAGAATGAAAACCTTTAGAACCGCTTCTTACAAAAATTAAAATTTACAAATTATAGATTGGAGAAGCTGACTATAGAACATCAAATTTTAGTCAGCGGCTCCATATTTGTAGATAATTCTACGGGGCATTCTTAGACATTTATTGGCTAGGTTGTTTTCGATTCGGTCCAGGAAATTTCTTTTACAAATACAATTACGTTAATTTCTGTTTTAGGTAGTTGCTACCAGGTAGTTGCTACCGAAAATTCTTTTGTAAGGATTGCCTTGCAATGCTTCAAGTAATAACTGTACTCTCTGTACAGTATTTAGAATTATCTAGAAAGTTATGTAAAAATATTGTGAAAAAAATATTGTGAAACATGTTGCGTCATTATAATTAAAAAAAAATTTAGCTCTAAACATGTCTTTATCATGTGTTAATTTGTTTCTTGAATATTTTTTCGGTTTAGTTAGCAACAAATCAGTGAATAGATGCAAATTAAAGGATTCATGATAATTCGAGAAATCGAAAAATGAAAGATAACCAAAAAAGTATCTTTTATTAAAATTTACTTACTTGATATAAATTTCAGAAAACTCCCGGCTAAAAATTCAATTCCAAAGCTCACTAGTCATGAGGAGTGTTTAGATATTTCGCTAACATCAGGTAAATATTTATTTTATTGATTTTTCAAGGATCGTGTTAAATTACTGTTTGAGAATTTTAGTAGTTTCATCAATTAAAATCTATGATGCATCAGAGGCGTAGTCAGGCAATGGGTCTGTCCTAGTATACGATTTTTGGACCCCCCCACCCCCACCCTCCTATCAATTTTGTACATGACCATTTATTTTTCAGCAAATTTATTATTATTTATTTTTTTGTAATTTAGGGTTAGGTTAGGTTAAGATACTTTCTGGGCCGAGCGCTGCGGCTAGGATGGGCTAGGGGGCCGAGTGCTGCGGCCACGGGTTAGGTTAAGTTAAGAAACATCCTGTCACACCCATGTACAAAATTGATAGGGGGGGGGGGGGGCCCAAAAATCGTATAATAGGAAATTACCCAGGCAATTTTGAACAGATGAAAATATAATTTATCTGACTCTTACACCCAAACCACATTTCCTTCACGAAACTTTTTTGGTAATTTCTTAGAGAACGACTTTTGGACCCCCCCCCTCCTCCTATCAATTTTATACATGGTTATCATTGGTCATGTGGCCGCAGCTCCCGGCCACCTTGTCTGTCCTAGCCGCGGCGATTGGCCCCCTAGCCGCAGCGCTCGGCCCAGAAATTGTCTTAACCTAACCCTATGATAATAAAAAATAAATATTGATAATTTTGCTGAATTCATGTACAAAATTGATAGGAGGGGGGGGGGGGGGTTCGAAAAATCGTTCTCTAGGACAGAACCATTTTTTTGTTATGCAACCGTCGTGTTAACAAATCTGAACACTTCATCTAGTTCTAAAATTGTTTAACCATTTTTTTCTTCAGAGTTACAGAATGTTCCCGGGTTTCCGTGGAGGGGGGAGGGGAGGGTTCCCGCCCCCTTTCCAGGGGGGCAGGTTTCCCATGATGAACAATATGAATGGAATGGGGTTCCAAGCTTTTGGACAGTTTAATAATCGTCCTGGCATGCAAAATTTCATGCCCGACAATATGCAAAACAATTTCATGCCAAACATGGGCCGTGGGGGCCGGGGAGGAATGGGAATGGGACGCGGCGTGAGAGGAGGTATGATGGGTCCGGGTAGAATGGGACCTGGACCTAGCCCGGCTACTCCAAACCGTGGAACTTCAACATTCGACAAAACAACTCCAGTCGCCGACAAAACTCCAGTGGTCGACAATAGTAGCCCAGCAGTCAATAAGAGTAAGCCAATAGTCGAAAAAACGTCAGAAGTGAATACCTCTTCAGTCTCAACGCCGACTACTGCGACGAGTGTCGTTAAAACGGAGGTACATGAAAGATATAACAAAAAAATAAGTTGCTTGCTAGTCTTTTTTTCCCAGTTATGTACTTAAATTGTAAGTTTGGCAAAAATTTTCTGATTTTCCAAGATGATGATGAAATATTAGTCATTGCTGATTTATCATATATTTAATCAAAAAAATTACCACCTTAGGGCTATGATACCAAATCCAGTTGATAGCTAATTCATATTTTAGACTGTAACCAAACCAACGCCAAGTGCGTCATCGACGGCAACAACGACAACGACGTCTGCACCTAAAACCAATGAAGCAGAGAAGGTTGTACCTATAAAGCGTGCTCCGGTATTACCAGGGGAGAACGAACCAGAATATGACGATAATCTCTGTCTTCTTGATTGGTGTAAGTTGATTTTTATGAATTAATTTGATTAAGCACAACTTTCTTTGAGATAATGTTTGTACATCTTTTATTGTATTATATATGAAGAATAGAATCCAGTTTTATAATGTTTGGAAGTTTAAAATAATCTCTCATTAGAAATAATTTATCCTAGAGAAATCGATCTCATATAGACTGAAAATGTGAAACTGAAGGATATCGTTGTCTTTTTTATAATTTCCTCAATTTTCCTTTCAATATTACATTTCCTATGCAAGGCTATATTTTCGTTTATGTCTCGAACTACATAATTTTTCCTTCCATTCTGGCATTTTATATAGTGAAGAGCTATATTTTTCGTTTTGCTTGGCACTTTTGGCACCCTGACAGAAACAAATGTGCAACGCTTTTGGCACCCTGACAGAAACAAATGTGCAACTTTTGTATCTTAACAGTCCTCTTTTTCCGCGTTATTTTTTACCATTTCTGTATCAGGTTTTGGTTGATACTTTTACCATTTCTGTATCAGGTTTGGGTTGATACTTTTACCATTTCTGTATCAGGTTTTGGTTGATACTTTTACCATTTCTGTATAAGGTTTTGGTTGATACTTTTACCATTTCTGTATCAGGTTTTGGTTGATACTTTTACCATTTCTGTATAAGGTTTTGGTTGATACTTTTCTCCTTGCTGTTGAGGATCCGGGCTCAATTAGCTACAATGTCGTTTTCTTGGATAAACAGACGCATTTTTTGTTTTACCCCTCATGAACAGTATTACCCAAAAAGCATGAGATTTCAGAGACGACTGTACGGAATCTATTCAGTCTTCTATCTTACATTATAGGATCCTTGTAGTTGTAAACTATTCTTTTTCCTTTGATTTATTTTTTAATATGCCATGAAAATCATTATTGAGAGCAGAACCCCATTGAATTCAGATCGTTATATTTAATGAGATCATCATTTAAGACTCCTCCTTCGTGGGTAACTCCTTACCTTATTCACTTCTTAATCAATGGAACCCCAATTAATTGTTATTTTGTATAGATAACTCTGACCTGAACCTGAATATTAATCCTACGGATTTCTGCTCTGCGGAGGCAATATCTAAGAACGGGTTCGGATATATGTGGGGCGGAGCTAGAGCTACCTACGGAGCAACCAGGGGAAGAGTCTGTTTTGAGGTTCGTATAGATGGAAACATGCCTGTAAGCCACCTAGAGGAGGAGGAGACTCCGAATGTTCTCCGGGTTGGTTGGTCAGTAAGTGGAAGTAATCTTCAGCTAGGGGAGGTCAAGCACTCCTTTGGATACGGAGGAACGGGTAAAGCAGCGGAGTCGTGTGTCTTCAAAAACTATGGAGTCAAGTTCGGAGTCGGAGATGTTATCGGAGCTTATCTGGTAATATCACATTTTAAAAGTTTTTGATGTTTCTTGCACCTAATCGTGAGCTGTGATTATTCGTTTCTACTTTCTCAAATTGACGGTCAATTCCTAGAGAGAGATAAATGACAAATTTTCTTTTCAATAATGATTTTAAAATGTATGATCTCATCTCGTATATTCCTCGTATTTTAATCTATATCTGTTCCAGGACGTAAGCAGTGATTACTGCTTTATAAAGTTTACAGTCAATGGGAAGGATCAGGGGATCGCCTACAGGTTTCAGAAACCAGATCTCAAGGTAGAATAGGAATTCAATTTCTTAAAAATATTTATCTAAAAATCGTTTAACTAGTGGAAGACGGATGTAATTATTCATTTTCATGACCAATTTTTTAATATGAATATCAACACATCTTTCACTGTAGAAAAATTGTTAAAATATTATTTTTTGTCCAAAACTGTGGATGGGTTTAAAAAAAGTTCCTTATTGGATGAAATACTTTTTATTTTTCAATGATTTAAACATTTTGTATTTCTCTTAAGGGTCAAGCTCTGTTTCCACATGTTCTGACGAAAAATCAGAACTTTACGGTCAACTTCGGTCAACTACCTGCACCACTCTTCCCCCTTCTACCAGGTATAACCCCCCTCCCCCCTATGAATATTCATCTAACAGCAACTGATTCAGGTGTATATAAAAGAATTACCCCCCCCCCTTTTCATCCCTGAAGTGGTCCCAAAAATGCTGTGGCTTAACAATTTCTAAATAAACCAGTGTTCTATTAAAAAGTAAAAATAGTTAAGCTATTGTATATATATGTAAATGATAGGCTTTCGTGGCGCTTCGTGCCGCTCTTTCTCGAACAAATTTAGCTTTTAGAAATTTCTATGTGAGCAACCATTTTTTCGAATGTCATTTGAGTATACCACAAAAAAACTTGACCTAATCGGTTCAGCCGTTTTGACGTTTTTTTTATTGTATACAAAGAAACAGAGAAGCCAAATACATATATATAGATTTTAAAATCACGCGTTCACTGAAGGTGCTATAAATTGATTTAAATTTCTCAAACATTCAAAAAAATATCGTTCCTTGAAAACGCCTAATTAAAATACACTGCAGGATTCACACCTATTGGTCAGCTTGATGTTGCGGATGGTTTAGTGAGGGGCCCCCTGCCCCCACCATCCAGGGCAGATTGTGAGGTAATTCAATCCTACAATTTAATAAAATAACAATATAAAAATTCATAGTTTTTCTGCTTTCATGATTAGAATTGCAAAAATTTTGAATCAAAATTAGTTGATCATCCATAAATGTTTCTTGCGATTCAATGAGATGCTAATTGGCCTTATCAGTTCCGCTGTTTATTCAATACAATCATTGTTATTATTATCATTATTTAAACCTATTTATTATTCAAAATGCACAATGAACACAAAAAGTACTGTATATATTTACATATCTTCATCATGTACATTCTGATTTATGAGTTATTTTAATAAATGCTAAGATCGACATAACAATTAACAGTTAACTGAAGCAGCGAAGATACAATTATTACAATTCGTTTTTATTATCATTATTATAATATCAATTTTTTTAATCTTTTTTATATTGTTTTAGTATGATTATTTTTGAGGATTTTTATTTTTATGCGTAGTATCCACAGCTGACATGAAAAGTGATCAAGATCAAGAATCTAGATACATGTTCATATTGGTGAACAGTAATGTAAAAATATGCAGCTTTGGGATTTGACTGACACTTAATCTGATATAAGGAGATCTTCAACGATCTGAAAATGTATTTAGATTTCTTGTTCATTTTGGTCAATCCTATTTGTGGTTCAGGTCAGCTGTTTATCAATATAATTATTGATTTTAAGATGTGTTTATCTAGTTATCATAATTATCATTAATATCAAGATCTATTTATCCAGGTCCTGATGATGTTAGGACTACCTGGAGCTGGTAAAACCTTCTGGGCGGAGAAGTATGCTAAGGAGCACCCAGAGAAGAACTATAATATCCTTGGAACAAATAATCTTATTGAAAAAATGAAGGTATAATTTAAAATAGTTTAAGACTGTATAACTGACAACTGTAAAACAAATAGTATAATTGACCATAATAACTAATTATTGTTTTAATTGTATTGTTTTAATATATGCTCTGAATTTATCATGCCAGGAGATTATACAATTATACAAGTTCAATAGTTATACACACAACAGCTCAAAGGACTACAGAATCTCAGCTCCGGCTGCTGTATGGGGAAACTATCCTTAAATAACCTGTAAATCTACTCCTCATTCATATAAGATCGGAGTAAGATATCATGTACTGCTTTCGTCCTCTATACTAAACAACTAGCAGGGCAGGCTTACGCAGAATTGATATCAAGAAGATGAGGTCCATATAGATTACCTAACTATACCAGGAGCAACTTTTTACTTTTACTTTTTTTACTTTTTACTTTTTACATATTTCTATTGCAGTTGATAAGAAGAAGTTTTAATTGTATTTGCTGCGGAGTTCATAATTTGTAATCGTACTGCTTTATACGTACAGTTGTGCCGTACTGTTAGGTCAATGGGTTGAGTAGGAAGCGGAACTACCACGGAAGATGGGAAGTATTAATCAAGAAATGTACTGAATGCTTCAACACAATATTAGATCTAGCCGCTAAGCGACGTCGTAACTATATTCTAGATCAGGTAATTCGTTTTCAAATAATAATCCTTATTTCTCATTTGTGGATAGTGCAAACCCAAATCTCCCATGATGAAATGAAAGTTTTAAGTTGAACAAAACGGGGTGTTGGGCTCTCTGAATTTATCTTCTGTATGAAGTCATAATTTAGTAATTAATTATTATTTAAGACGAACGTGTTTCCAACAGCCCGTGGTCGGAAACTAAAGGATTTCAAAGGATTTACAGCTAAGGTAAAAAATAAAATGAAGAAAAATATTATTTTGTATTTTTTGTATTTTTTTTGTTTTTTTTTGTTGCATTTTTGTAAAATTTTGAATCACGTTGACACTGTTAAATTTCAGGCTGTTGTTGTTGTTCCGCCAGACGATGAATTCCGACGGCGGGTGGCGGAAAGGGAGGCAGTTGAGGGGAAGGAGATCCCCGACAATGCCGTCCTCAACATGAAATCTAACTTCGTATTACCGGAGTTGGAGGAAACCTTCTTCTCCGAGGTTTGGTATACCGAGCTTTCTCCGGAGGAATCGCATAAGGTCGTCAACAGGTACAACGAAGAAGCGCGCTCATCTGGTCTCACCATCATGCAGGGGGTGCGCTCCTTCAAGCACAGGAATGAGAACAAGCGGCGGGAGCAAAAGATTCCTCTTCCAGGGAAACATGTGCCCTGGGACAAGAAACCTGAGACTAAAAATTTTTCTGAGGATAAGGTTCAAGCCTCGACCTCCAGTGTCACCAACCCGGAGAAAACTGAGATCAAACCTGAACCCGTCTCTGCTTCTCAAAGGATAGAAGAACTAAAGAAGGAGAGTCGAGACCTGACCAAGAAATCGTCTAAAAGCAGGAGTCGGAGTAGAGATAGAGATCGAAAGGGTCGGGATTCTAGAGATCGTAGAAGATCTAGAAGTCGAGAACGTCGACGATCGAACAGTAGAGGACGGTCGGATAGGGTCGGAAATAATAGGTCTTGGTCCTCTGATCACAAAGATGGACGGGACAAGGGTCGTAAGAGAAGTAGGTCCAAAAGTCGGGATAGGAACAACCAGAGGTTCAAGAAGGAACCTGTTATTAGTCCATGGAACAAGGCTCCCTTAGATTCTTCAGGTTCTTTTCGTGGACGGGACGGTCCAGGAACATCTCGCGGAACAGGGTTTCAGCGAGGAAATGTCACTCAAAAATTTCAGGACGGAGCTGGAACATCATTGGGTGGATCTGGTGTATCAGGTTCTACTCCGGACCTCAATGAGAGGAGATACGACCAACCTTCTGACGATTTTGTGCGTGGCGGACGAGGGAGAGGTTTTAATCGAGGTAGGGGAGGATTTCAAGGTCCTCCATCTAGAGGACGCGGCTTCCATAGCAACAGACCTGAAGGTCAGTTCAAGAGTGAGCCTAGAGAACCTATATCAGATCCTGCCCTCCCGGAGAAGAGATGGGGGAACCAAGATCATGAGTGGAGAAGTAACCGAGGAGGATTAACTGAATCAACCCGTGGAGCTCCTAGAACAGCTTTACTCGGTAATTTTCCTAACTCAAGGTTTAATCCACCAGAGGAGAAGAAACCGATAGATAACTCCTGGAATCAGAGTGGACGCTCCAGTTCTCATTCGAACTATAATGACAATTTGGAGCAGGATAATGACAACTACAATAGGAATGACTACGAGATGAATATGAACGATCCAGCTCCGGGTAGATCCAACAATAGGGGAAATTATCAGAGAGGAGGTTTCAATGATTATCTTATGGAAGAATCAGCTCCGGTGGACGAGTTTAGAGAAGGTTCAGAGAACTCCTCGGTTCAGGTTCCAGATATAGATGAAGAGTTTGCCTCCAGGATGGAAAGAAAACTGGCAGCATATCAAGATGAGGAGGATCAGCGCGGATTTAACGAGCAGTACGGAAATATACCCGGAAAGCAAGGATTCAACCAAACTCAGGAATGGAGAAATGATAAATACAATACTGATGAAAAGGATAGGTTTGGACCAAATAACGGCCCAAACAACAGATTTGGACCAAACAACTCGGCTCCTAATAATAGATTTAGATCTGGCGCAAACAGCAGATTTGGCCCACCCAACTCTGGCCCAAACGAAAAGTTTGATCCCGTGCATGGTAAATCGGGTGGTTTTTCAGGACCTCCTGATAGATTTGGACCTAACTCAGGTTCGCATGACAACCTTGGGCCCTCAAACAGATTTGGAATGGATTCTGGATCCAATGATAGATTTGGTCCTAACTCCGGACCTCCGGAGAGATTTGGGCCCAATTCAGGACCAAATGATAATTTTGGTCCAAATTCAGGGCCCCACGGTAAATTTGGACCAAGTGACAGATTTGGACCGAATACTGGGCCAATTGATAGATTTGGACCCAACACTGGGGCTAGTGACAGAGTTGGTCCGAATACGGGATCAAGAGAAAGATTTGGCCCCAATCCAGGACCAAGTGACAGATTTGGCCGCAACACAGACCCACACGAATCATGTAGGCCCAATGATAACTCTGGACCGCACAACAGACTTCCTGGTCCTGTATCAGGGTTTGAGAAGAGTAGAGGTCCAACAGATCGATTTTCTCAAAGCAATTCCAGTTCCCATACAGAGTTTAATCGGTATGGATCTAGTGATTACACAGAGCAATTTACCGGTACCGACACTGCAGTTGAAATCGGAAATAAACGCCATTTCCCACCTGGTTCGGACCCACAGAGTAAGTTTGGCTTCAATATGGAACGGCAGGAAAAATTTGGTCCAGAGAATAATGTCTGGCCCAAGAATGAGCCTTACAACAAGTTTGGAGCAAATTTTATCGATGACAAGTTTGGGCCAAATCCAGGCCAGCTCGATAAATCGGGTCAAGAGCCAGGACGTTTCGGATCAAATATGCATCCGGATAAATTTGGTGCTGGGTTGAAAGGAGCTCCAGTAGGCAAACCTAGCAGTACATTTCCTCCTGAGACAAGTTTAGATTTTCAAAAGTTTTCCGAACCCCCGCCTTCCTTCCCTTCATCTGCTGGTTTTAATCAGGGTTCAAGATTCAGGAGTAATGATGAAAATACTGCAGGTGGCCCCGATAGTAAGCCTGGATATCCTGGAGGAAATGCAATAAAACCGTCAGGGTTTCAAGAGCAGAAACCTCCCATTATCCCGTCCTGGAATGAACAAGGTCCAAAGCTAGATACTGTGAGGGGTAGAGGAGAACCAGGCAGGTTTCCTATTACCTCAGACGGTGCAGGAGTAGGGATGGGATACTCGGTTCAGTATCACGGAGAATATGGATCTGAGAGTAGGTTTCAAGGCGAAGAGGTTGGAGGAATGTTGAATAAACCTTATCACGGCTCAGGGTACCCACAAACACAGGAGAATTTTCCTAAAGAGAAAAGCAGGTAGGTCTACATTTTAAAGTCACATTTATGAGCACAAAAATGAAAAACTCGAAGGTTTAGAGCAAGTTTTATTAAACAATCGAATCATGTAGATGTTTTCTTAAATTTTACAATAACGTTTACGAACAGTTTCCTAAATCTAATCAAAACAATTGAAACTATGATGTAGAGTTGTAGAAAACATTCCATACTACAGAATGCAAAGTAAAAGGGAGTGTTTATTTTTCTGTATATTATAATTTATCTCCTTTATTGATTTCTCATATTTTCATCTTTTAACACCCCAAATGCAGTACACATTTTTGATGTGTAGTATACGCACACACAAAAACTTGCCAAAGTTCACTGTATTATTATTATTATTATTCTACTATTTTCAGGACCCGGAGTAGAATGAACATGGATATAAATTCAATACCAGGAATGAACCCCCCTGCACCAGATGCTAGCCTAGGATCTGTAAATCCTAGTCCTATGAATCAACCTCCTCCGGGTTCCATGAATCCTGGTCCTGGTTCCGGTACTCCTGGAGGACCTGGAGGCTCTGGTCCGGACTATGCTGCTCTTCTCCAGTATCTTCAGTACTACCAGAAACAGATGGGATCGGAGGAGTCGGAGAGTAAAATTTAAAGGAAAAGATCGGGGTGTTGGAGGCGGCTTGGTAAGAGTTAAAGAGGAGTCAGTGAAAAAAGGAATCAGAGCGCAAGAAGTTTCTCAGAGTAGTATTTATGCACGCACACTTAAACCTAATTATAGGTTTAGCTCGACTGATTCTGAGTGACGTGAAGGCCTTCAGCACGTGATAAATTTTGTTATTAACCTATTCCGTGAGATGATAAAATTGGAATCCAAATTGTACAGACAAATTTGACTGTACAATTTATCGTTTGTACATTGTACAGTTGTAACCAAGTCGCGCATAGAAGGATATTGTGATCCCTAGCGCTAAATTTTTTCTTATGATTCTGCACACTATATAGATTCATGTGAAGTACAGTACAGTAGGAATCATTAAAAGATTAAGAATGCAATTTCGAAACTATGTGTTGTACAGTACCTCACAATGTAAAACATTTTTTTTAATTATGGTTTTTGTTCTCTTAAAACTCTACTGTGCCGTACAGTTTACATGCTGTATGTAAATAAAATCCAGTTCCGCCAGTGTACGTTAAAATATTGCTTGAAACCAACGAATGGGGATAAGGGCTTTCTTAGCTTTATTCTTAACCCCATTTGATGACAAATTTATGTTAATTTTTCATTGTGTTCGTCTGATTTGGTTAAATAAATTCAATTAATTGTTAATACCATTCATTTGAATAAACTTCATAAATAAACATTAAACAATGTAAACTTACCTTTCTAGGTCTTACCTTATTTACCAACAATGAGGGTTCCCCAGAAAGAGGCTAAGAATAATATTGATAATGCATTAAAGACGACCTACACATATAAATAGTATTAACTGAGTAATGACATTTCTGAAGTCTCCTTCGTTGAGGGTAACCCGGTCATGTAACTTCTATCCTACAGGATTTGCGTCCTAAAATACTTCGGACCTACAACAGCTGTAGGTCAGATGTACATTCTATTTTGTTAATCCGACCGACTACAGATATTGTAAGTATGTAGTTGACAGTGTTATCAAACGGATCGATGTTCAGGGCGCAGCACTCAAATTTAGGTACAGGGTGTCCCACGAAACATGACAATAGCAAGACGACTTTCAAGTCGTCTTTGGTATTTGAATTTATTTGTGACATTTAGTCTTCTATCTACTTTAACATGTATGATTCTTGAAACAATTATCACATAATTCTCCTAGCCGTGGCATTTCCAAAAAGTGGTCTGCGTTTTTTGTGCTTTCAATATTACTGGAGATATAAAGAGTTTGGTTCAGATTTCAATTTTGTTAAATAAAAGCAAAATTGTCGAAATCTGAACGAAATTCTTCATATCTCGGGCAATATTGAAAGCACAAAAAAGGCAGACCACATTTTGGAAATGGCAGGACAAGGGAAATTTTGTGATTATTATCTCTAGAAATTTACTTCTAAAATTAGGTTGACAAATAAACGCAGCAAATTATATCAAAAATCAAGACGACATTCAAGTCGTCCTGCATACTGTCATGTTTCGTGGGACACCCTGTAGGTCCGATGCACAGATTTTGTAGGTCGGATGCACAACTTCAATAGGTCGGTAGCACAACTTTAGTAGGTTCGATGCATAAATTTAGTAGGAATACTGACTAATCGAGAGCAAATATGTGGGGTTAGGTTGGGTTAAGACGAATTGAGCGATAGACAATATATGGGGTTAGGTGAGAACACTTTCTGGGCCGAGCGCTGTGGCTAGGACAGACTAGGAGCCTAGCGCTGCGGCCAAATTTATATAATGACCAAGTGATAGCCAATATTTAGGGTTAGGTTAGGTAAATATGATTCCTGGGCCGAGCGCGGCGGATAGGGGGCAGAGTGCTGCGGCCACATTTATAGAAATGAGTGATAGACAATCTATGGGTGCTATTGCGTTTGCACTACTGCCGTTTGAACTATTGCACGTGGTACCACGTATTATAGTAGTTCAAACAACCAATAGTTCAAACGCTCCCAGTGCGCATTCGAACTATTTTTTTTGTTCATTTGAACTATTATTATATGTTCAAATGACCCAAAAAGTATAGTTCAAATAAGGAGAAAAATAGTTCAAATGAGCAAAAAAATAGTTAAATGAGCAAAAAATAGTTCAAATGAGCAAAAAATAGCTCACATGAACAAAAAAAAATAATTCAAATGAGCAAAAAAAAATAATTCAAATGAGCAAAAAAATAGTTCATGGTCGGATATACTACCTTTTTTGTGCATCCGACCCACTAATGTGTGCTTTCGACTTACAAGTATTGTACAGATCCGACCTACAGGAGAGTGAAACCAACTAAAGAAAGCTGAAGCTTAAGAGCTTATTAAAATATGGTCTGCCTTCTTTTTATCTTTAAAATTGGCGGAGACATCAATCATTTGAACAATTTTAATGGAATCCGGACAGACTTCTCGATAACTGACAATTTTCAAGGTTCGAAAATAGTAGAACACATTTTAGAAATCCCGTTACTAGCAGTTTCAGATTTTACTCGTTTTTAATGGGATTCTACCAAAAATGTGTCTCGTTGTAAAGCCACACGGAACAAAGACGATATTGAAGTCGTGACTTAATTCCCATGGGGATTGAGAAACCCTGTATATGGAATAATAGAAATTTATCTGGACCAGCTTTTCACATCCGTATTCTTAACGTTTTACAATATACAATTTTTGTTCGGCTTCTTAACTAGAAAAAGGGGTTGTGACACTTCTACGATTTAAAATAAGTATTTCAAGAATTTGTCAACTTTTCAAGTGTAGGGCACTGGACCATATTTGAAACGCCTTAGAAATGGGATGTTTGTTATTTTGATTTTTACAGCAGATAAAAATAATATCGAATTATCTAACTGAACAGTGGTAGATTGGGTAAAGATTGAACGCAATGTTAGAGGAGATAAAACCTTGATATTTTGGATAATTTTAAGTCATCCTTTCAGTGGGTAAACTGCAAATTCTGAGATCAAGCTTTGATTTAAAAAAAAAAAGACCCAAGATTTTATAAAAATTCGCAACAAAAAAACATTTGTGACAAATTATGCTGTAAATAATTTAAAATGTTAACATCATTTATCATTATTTACGACGTTGATTTTAGAAAAATGTTCTTTAATTTAAAATTACTTTAAAAATGATCCTTTTCATTCAGAATGATGTTAACTTAATACTTTATGAAGTAATACTTTTAGTGTGAAATTCCCACCTTAGGACAATTTTCTCGTCTTATTTAGTGATCCAACTTTATTAACCGTCATGTAGTGCAATGGGAGTAAGACTTTCTTAAGAAATATTTTTAGAGTAAATTACCAAATTTGATCATCATGATCAACTTCTAACTAAGCATAAATAAAATCCATTTACATTTGTACACTATATTTCAGAACACATTTAACAATTGGCAAAAAACGTAAACGGTTTAAGTACTATTTTTTGAATTTAGTAAGAGTTCGTAACTCGATAAATGAAGTTCGAATGAATTCGTAACTCGACATATGAAGTTCGAATGAATTCGTAACTCAACAAATGAAGTTCGAATGAATTTGTAACTCGATAAATGAAGTTCGAATGAATTCGTAACTCGACAAATGAAGTTCGAATGAATTCGTAACTCGACAAATGAAGTTCGAATGAATTCGTAACTCGACAAAGGAAGTTCGAATGAATTCGTAACTCGACAAATCAAGTTCGAATGAATTCGTAACTCGACAAAGGAAGTTCGAATGAATTCGTAACTCGACAAATGAAGTTCGAATGAATTCGTAACTCAACAAATGAAGTTCGAATGAATTCGTAACTCGACAAATGAAGTTTGAATGAATTCGTAACTCGACAAATGAAGTTCGAATGAATTCGTAACTCGACAAATCAAGTTTGAATGAATTCGTAACTCAACAAATGAAGTTCGAATGAATTCAGAGAGGGAGAACAGAACAAAAAATATAAATTGAAAAAAAGATAACGTTATAAAGAAACAAGTTATATGACTCTAATTGTACGAGACGTTGAATACAAACAATTGAAGATTCCCGCACACATAGTAAAAAATTATTCAATTGAAAGTAAGATACAGATACACTGAGTAAAGAACAATTAATAAAAAAACGTTAACAAAAATTATCAGAATTCAGCTCAAAGGGGTCGAAAGACAACGATACATTAACAGAAACAGAAGGGAAATTATTCCCTTGATAAAGCGACATAATATTGGAATTGTGAGATTTATATTTGAAGGGAGGGAGGGCAATTCACATTCCATCCAACTCTTTGTTTCCAGAAGAGAAGGAGGGAGGGCAGTTCACATTCTACAAAACTAAGTCTATTTCAATGATTTGGTTTCGTAATCGATTGATTAGCGGCTGGAGTGAGGACGGGTTTAACTATCTGAACTATCCTCGTCTGTTCTCTTCCAAATACAAACCTGAAAAAGGAAAAATAATGAAACGTAATACTAAAATGCAATATCAGATTTAAAAAAGGTAAACCTTATCATACCTGACCCCCACCCCCTCCCCACAAACAAAAAAAAATTTGAAATTTGCGCCTCATAGAAATGATATTGCCAGACATATTTATGATGAAAAAAATCCAATTTCTAAATACTACCTGGTTTTACAATAGGAATAGATTTCCAATTTTTAATGCACGAAAAAAGGAATGATAAAAAAGGGAGACAGGGATGTATATTTTTAAGAATTATCCCACTCCCTGAGCTGGGGGGGGGGGAATGATTTCGAAGATCTGAGGTAAAAAATGAAAAATTGGATATAAAGAAAAATATATGCCCCTAAAGAGAAAGGTCAAGTTACCATGTTATTTGAAGTAACAGCGACGATATGACTGCAATCCCAGCTTGTTGTGACCTTGTCTATGATAATATCGTGTCGGTCAAGCGGTACCTTCCTGCTGTTCTCCAGGTGGTCGTCCTAAACAAGATTAACTTAGTTTCATTAGACTTCAAGCATGCTTACCTGTAAATCATTAACATCTCAAAAAAAATGTCAAGAAAATTTCAAAATGTTTAGCCAAACATATTTTCACGACTTAATATAATTATCATTTTGGACTATTATTATATGTTCAAATGACCCAAAAAGTATAGTTCAAATAAGGNGATCGCCATGCAATTTTTATTATCAACATTAAGAAAAGAACACTTAGAATAGAGGCTAGGGTCCTTAAAATCTCGCCCCCTCCCCTGGCGGTTTAATTAGTCGAACAAAGACATCTCGTTTTTAAATCTTTCCTTAATCATCTCATGATTATGCCCGGAATGAAACTTAAACCTTCCAATCATAAGTTTACGCTTAATTAGATGTAGCTAAGCGCTTTCCCAACCAAATCCGAATACCTGTAGCTCCGGCCAAACCAGTTTTGTGGTTGGATCAACCAGTTTCTTGATAGGTTCTGGACTCTTATCCGGACTACTGTTAACCATACCAGGCATGTTGTAGAGCCATAGGCTTCCCTTGTCATCTCCGCACACTATCAGTCCTTTACCCTGAACAGTAATTTATTAAGGTCACATATTATCGGAATTTATTATCATCTGTCATCCAACAGGAATATATTTTTGTCACATATCATCAAACAGGAATATATTAATTTCAATTATTATCAAACAGGAATTTATTAAGGTCAAATATGATCAAATAGGAATATGTGATTATGTGATTATGTGAGATGAGATCTGCAAGAAGCCCCATCTTGGGCAACCCAGACCGCCTACATTTAAAAAAAAATTTGCATAAAAATATTTAAGCTTAAAGGGATTGTATAACTAAAATTAAAAATCAAAGGGATTGTATCCAACTGTTTTAAAATTAAAGGGGTTTGTATAAAAATCAGGTTACCTTGTGGCATCCCAGATTCATATAGAAGTTGTCTGTATCCGACCATTTCAGGTTTGCTAGCATGCTCACCTAGTATACAGACATTGTCAAACGGTGATCCAGTTTTATTTTACACCTATAACAGGTTTTTAACAATAATAGAGTGTATGTTTTCTATAAAAATTAAATTAAATTTTCAATTTATTAGAAACTAAAAATTTTTTTTGACAAGTTCGATGCTCCGTAAAAAAAGGAGTAATTAACAAGTTCACAAAGAATTGGCATGCTAGAATACTATTAGACTGGGCTATCTGCAAAAACGCCAATTATCCGTATGTTAAATCCTATAGAATACTGAAGCAAACAAAGCATATCGAAACATCAAGATTGAACGAGACCCTTCTATGGTGATATTCTCCTTTAAATTTCGTTTCAGAAACCCCTAGCGGTGAGATTCTAAACTAACTATTTGTACCTCAGATCCCACAGGTATATAAGCCCGTGATTGGCACACTTTGCCACTACGGTATACTCGGACACAATAGCTAAACTGTCAACTATTGGGTTCTCGTCCTGAAAATAAAACTAATTTACAAAATAGACGAACTAACAAAACCAAAGAGTACACTGAATGGAATAACACATCGGATAATACATTAATACGTCAAATGATGAAAAAATCTGTCATCAGATGTCATCTAAGAATTAGCGGACAAGGTCCATCTTGTTCCGCACTGGGACAGAAATGAAAAATTTAACTTCAAATGGCAAGTTTTGTTGTTTACACTCAACTGTGACGTAATTACAGCTATAGAACTGGTTCTATAGTAAACAAACAACTTTTGGGAAACAAGAAAACGAAACCTTTACAAAAAAACTTAATCATAATCTTAATTTACAAGACGTCTAGAATGCTATTACAAAGTCTAGAATGTTATTACAAAGCCTCGAAATGAATTCAGTGCTCCCCTATGACGGCACAGTAAATTTTCAACAATACTTCCCCCCCCCCTCCCTAAATATACAATTTATATCCGACCTTATCCCGTTCACTGGCAGGTAGAAGGAAATCAACCAGGAAAGGTTTGTACTTCGTTTCACTCCGCACCTTCTCCGCCTCAATCTTAACATAAGGAAGTTAAAAAAATGATTGGATAAATAGGATAAATAGGTCAATATACAGGATGAGATCTTAACATAAGGAAGTTAAAAAAATGATTGGATAAATAGGATAAATAGGTCAATATATTCATATATCCATGAGAGGATGAATAGGTCAATATATTCATATATCCATGAGAGGATGAATAGGTCAATATATTCATATATCCATGAGAGGATGAATCATAGATAAAGATAGATAGCGCATAAGACGACATTTTTAATCTTGAAAGATATAAATGTACAGAGATGTTTTAAAGATATTCCTATTATATAGAATAACTAGGTCGGTTGTGAACATTAGCTGTTCTTATGTCATTGAGTACTTGTGGTGTACATGAGTTCTGTAGAGAGAAATTTAAGTTAGTTTAGTCCTTCTCATGTCCTTCAGTTCTCGTCAATATGATAAATTGCTCAGTGAAATATTGTTGTTCAAATATTTCCATTCCCGGAGTTATTTTACACTCTATTATGAAATCCATTAAAACACCAAACCACCCCGCTTATCATTGAAGTACACTTTGACCCCCAGAAGTATGAGTTCGCGGACTGTACAATTCTTGGTGATTTTGCGTACATAAACTATCTATGTTTATTTATTTACCTATGGGATGAATAGGTCAATATATTCATATATCCATGAGAGCATGAATAGGTAAGTATATGAAAGAAGAGGTTGATAGGATGATTAGATGAAAAGATAAAAGGAAGGATGGATAAATGGATGAATATATAGAAGAATGAAGATAATAGATGAAGAAAGAACTACTGTGAATCAATGGATAATCTATGAACTAATACACTCCAACCATGTAAATTATGGCAAGTTTAATACGGATTTCCCTTATGACGACGGTAAAACTGATAAAATAAGTATCCTACCTTCCATCCTACTAACCCAGCAGCTGTCCCAGCTAGCAGCCACTTAGAATTGTGTCCAGACCAAGCGATATTATATACGTCTCCTAAACAAAATATATAACGACATGTTAACCTGCTTTTTATTAATACTATTATGATTTGCAGACAATCCATCATTCAATGAAATAGGGGTCGACGCTTCTCATCACTGAAGTGTATCCATAAAAATAAGAAAATTTAGTTTTGGAATTAAAAACACCAATGCGCCTAAAAATGCACAATGGTTTCGTCTTAAAAAATCCACATTTCAAAACAATATTAGGATTGGCTAAAAAGTTTAAAAGTTCTCATTAAAAATAATATAAAGTTTTGTTTTTCCGCTCTAACTCATATATCCCTGGACCGATTTGCCTCACATTTTTAATAGGGAACTCGGGGGAACCACAGGAATGTTCAAAGCTTGGTTTTGAAATTCTAAGTTGTGTGGGTTGACAAAAATAAATGTTTAAATTTCTTAATTTAAGACCAACCGCGGGTAAACGGTGGGAGTAACTATGAGTAACCTGGGCAACGCTAGGNCATGTTATTGTCCAAGGCTAGTTTAACCATAACAAAACAATATCTATGATTGTTAATCTCATACCTTGTGTTTGTACTTCATGAGGACTGTGCCTGAGTTCACATCAATGATGCAAATACTGTTTCCTCTAAAACAAAATAGGAAATCATTAACATATTTGTTGTCATTTTTTTTACATGAGTCTCACAACTAATATACACCCCTGTTTTGAAATCTTCGAATTTTATCAATTTTTTTAGAGAAACGAACTAGAACGATCATTAACACTAACCGTAATCAGGGAAGAGTTTGAGGAGTTGTCTAGGGTTAACTCCATCATATGTTGGAAGGGTAGGAGTACCAACATCAAAGAGAGACACGTTGCCGTCGTTGGTTCCCACAAAGAGCCAGGTGGGTTCAGAACTGTGGAACACAAGGGAGTTTACAGCAGTTGGCTTCTTAATATCAACCGGCTTCCATTCGTGGAAACACACCTGGCAGAAAATAACCGTTATTGTAGGGACTTTTTATTTTAAATTAGCACACCAGCCGACCACTCCCGGTGAATGTAGAAAATTTTGGGTGGGAAGAAAAAATAAATTTATTATTATTCAAAATATCTTGCAAATTGTCCGGTTTCGCTGTAAAAAAAAACATTAAAATATATATTTTTTGACGCGTATGGACAGTAGGGATAACAAANAAATGGTTTTAGAATTATGACCAACCTTGTTTTTGGGATGAAACATCCTGATTTCTCCTTTAATCCCCCCGCTAGCTAGAATATTAGTCTTCTCCCCTCCCAGGTTCAGAGTTGTCCAGGCGAGAGTATAAAAATTCTCTCTAATATCCTGAACAATGAAGGTTGTTAAATTGCGATGATAAGTGGAGAATTCAAAATATCAGAATTTTCGATATAACTATTTTCCATTTATTTATCAAGGTTTTCATGAAAGTTATCACGATTTTTCCAAAAATCATCATTCTTCTTTCTGATCAATTTTTCATGATTTCCTACAAAATATAAGGTTTACATACAAAATATCAAGATTTTTCATCAAATTATCATATTATATCATATTATGAGGGACTATCAATTTACCAAGCAATTTCATCGATTTACAAGGTTTTCTATGAATTTATCAGTTTAATAATAGTATCTTACTTTTATATCAACTAACAAAGTTTTACATGAATTTATCAGTTTTCCATCAATAGTTTTCACGGAGTTTCGTCGATTTGTCAATCTTTTTCATAAAATGAACTTATCAAGGTTTCCATCTATTGATAGTTTCAATGAAATAATCAAGGTTTTAGATTGAGTTATCGTCCCATAAAATATCATGTTATAGTCCAAGTCATGTTATAGTCCCAAGTCATGTTATAGTCCCAAGTCATGTTATTGTCCAAGGCTAGTTTAACCATAACAAAACAATATCTATGATTGTTAATCTCATACCTTGTGTTTGTACTTCATGAGGACTGTGCCTGAGTTCACATCAATGATGCAAATACTGTTTCCTCTAAAACAAAATAGGAAATCATTAACATATTTGTTGTCATTTTTTTTACTCCCCTACCCCCACCCCAGGGGTGTTGGGGGTGGGGGACCTCTGGATGTTATGAAGATACTCATTCACTCCCTGCAACCTGTTCTATTCTGTATTATCTACTGCTTCTTTAGGAAAAAGCATCGTGCAAGGGAAATTTGGAGGAACCCTCGCCATTAATTTGCAGGTCACTATTGCAGAGAAATCACAAATCAAAATAAACGGTTTTCAAAAACAAAAACATGGATTTCCAGTTCAGAACTGATTCAGACAAAGATATTAAAGAAACAGTAGTAAATCCGGCATTCCCATCTATACATGGAGGGTTACACTAATAGTCCCTTTAAGAGTGGTAATTTCAAGGGAGCCTCCATTAATTGAGTGGCATGTCCGATTCACAACGGTACCTTTAAAACGGATGTAGTAGATATATCTAATATCTATCCATTCCTTTTCATTATTTTCGATTGTGATTACTCTAATATAAAGACTTGCGTCTTTATGTTTCAAAAACAATGAACATTTCAGAATTTAACACTGTTAAGGCTAGAAAAGCAGGACTTATTTGAACTTACCCGCAGGTTGCTACATTACTCAGGGTCTTGCTGCTATCCTCTGGATCAGGTTCGAACACAACCTGGATAAATGAATAATTTCAATATTTCAAGAAAGCTCAATAAAGCAGCTAAGCAATCCTCCTTAGCTAGAATTTATAGCCTTTCGAATCTGATCAGTTGATTTCTAGCTGATGGGCTTCAAGTTTTTAACGAAAGCGCTTTACATAAACGCAACTAAACTAGCGTAGGGGTTCATCTTGGGACTACTCTTGGTGAAATTACACGTTCTTGTCACCCCAAAACACATAAAATTTGCTACAAGAAGTATCAGAGATAATAAATTTTCCCTCAAACCATATCGTAGTGCGGTAAATATGCCAGAATTATCCATTTTTATTTTACGCATCAAGGTTAAAAATACATTGCTTTTCATTTGCGTTATAAAATTTCATTTTGAATTTCTATTCTTCTATGTGTAAATTTAGCTTGTCTGTCTGTCTGTTTGTGTCCAATAAATGTCAAAACGGCTAAACCGATAAGGCCCAAATTTTGTGTGGGACCTCACGTGACCCCAGGGAAGAGTTTTAAATGATCAAAATTACAAATATTTGTCTCCATCAAAATTCGATTTTCATTAAATGGGGGGGAATACATAATTCTGAGTTTGCATGCAAAAAATCAGCCTCCTACGACAATTCTAAGTTATGTTTAACCACTGTTTAAATTTTCCGGAGAGTAATACGTTTTGTGCCCCCCCCTCTTTTTGAAAATTTTGAAAATTCACGGATGTTTTTATTAAAATCCGCTTTTTGTTTTGCTTTACGATGTACACAACACACACTGCTGAAAATGGACCATCAGATTTCAAATCAAAACACCTTTTATCTTTTCTTTGGATAATGTTTATATGCAGGCTACTGAGTTATATTCTCAATTTTCAGAAAATGCCACCAAGGGAATTTTGAGCAAATCAATATTTAAAAAATTGTAGAAATCAAATGCACTCACAGGTCTATGATTAAACAAAAGTTTCGTTTCAAGACTTTAATCTGCTTATTCAACTATTATTTTTAAGTATGACGTAGTAAGATGTACTACACCAAGTTCGATCAGCTGACTAAGGATGAGCACTGTATCTGAACTTGAACCAACTACACGAGTCATTAACGGTAAAAAAGAATAAAGATGGGAAAAAAGGGAAAACGAATGGACTTTTATAAATCCGCTTTTGTGTCTATGACAAATTTTCAGCAAATTTCCTCTCCAGATGCACAGAATGGTAATTAAATAAAAACTGAGTAAATAATTCACTGATCAATTGATTAGTAATAAAACTGAGAAAACTTACTTAAAACCTTAACAATTGCAAATTATTTCTTAAGTCAAGAACTCTCCTCCCACTTTTCTCGTATGAGAAACTAAAACCTTATTAATAAAAATTAGCTGAAGCGCATTTTGATGTCAAAATGCGGCACGAAAAAGTTTTTATGCTGTAATTTTACTTCATAAAAGTCTTTTTCAGGCAGTAATTGGGCAATTATACAGTTCACTTAGGGCTTTGATTTTTTAGCTAAAACATGTCTTATGATTGTTAAGGAAAATTTACAATATTTGAGGACCCTGCCATTAATGGTTCTAAAAATATCACAAAAAACACAGAATAATCTTGATTAATCTTTGAACCTACAGTTACTATTGAATTTAGACTTAAAAATGCACTTGATTTTTACAATTTCTTTAAAATAGATTTAATCAAAATTCATTTAAGGTGGCATTTTCTGAAAATTTAGATTATAACTCAGAAGCCTGCATTTTTAGCAGTGTGACAAAGAGAACATGTTCACAATTAAATAGAAGATGGACGTGAAGCGCTCTCAAAGGCTAGTAACAACAAAAAAAGACATTATTACCTCCCAGATCTGAGTCTGAACATCAGCAGGGTCATTGTTCTTAGAATGGGATCTGATAAAGTGAACAGGATCGTAAACCAGGGATTCCTAAACAATGTCCAAGTTAAAGCGATCTCTTTCAATATTAGGATTGTACATTTACCTACTTTTTCATTTGCTACCTAGATGGGCAGTTGAGTCTTTTTTTAAACCTCTGGTAGGTTTAGATTTTTTTTTCTCGCGGTGTTTTTCGCAAAAATTAAGTACTAATATAACAGAAAAAAATATTTCTTAAAGATATGTCAAAAGATTCGTCTTAAAAAACTTAAGTTCAGAAAAGTCGATTTTATATGGATTTGTTAATCACTTCACCAATAAGACAAAAAAAAATTTATTGAAAAATCTTGGGTCCGTCCTAGTATAAGATTTTTGGACCCCCCCCCCCTATCCATGCGGCCACATGACTAATTATATCCATGTGTTACATATGAGATCCACGTAGAAAATTGGTAAAATCGGTCAATTTCAAATTAACGATATAGTCTTACGCAAATAGATAAACAATCTTAACAAATTATAAATTATAAAGGGTAAATAATATCTTGAAAAGCTAACCTCAGTTTTAGAACGCTTCGGCTTCTTGTCGCTACCAGAGGACACAGGGCGCTTCTTGTCCGGCATTCTATAAATCTGGAGATCTGAAAATAAGTAAAATTAAATTTTTTTACATGAAATGTGGCTAAATATTTACATTGTTGTTTGACTTCCCCCGCTCTCACCGTCCCACGCCACTTGTTCCTTGAGAAATCCGCTAATACCGACAATTTGCGCAGTAGATTTGGTTTGCCGCGGCAAAATAAGTAATTATTTTGAAGTCTGTCAAAAACTAAGACGACACAAAATATTTACTATATTAATTGGTGGATTCTCTCTTGAACTACTCCCGTTTGAACTATTGTTCGTTTGAACTATTGTTCATTTGAACTACTGACATAACGTCATACCCTGTAGTTCAAATCAACACATTACTTGCTCATTTGAACTATTTTAAATTATTTTATAATTATGAAGTTAAGGACCATATAATAAGTTATATAACATATCAGGGGCATTTTTTAATAAAAAAAAGGGTATGGACAAAAAAAAAACATTTTTACTTCTAAATAATGTCATTTCCACATTAGATTTCGTTGAGATCTTAACATACTACATACATTGACGACTTAAGAAAATTTGACAATGAGTAATGACAATAGTTTTGCAGAGTACAGGGTGTCCAACGAAACATGACAGTTGAAAAATAGTTTTGCAGAGTACAGGGTGTCCAACGAAACATGACAGTTGAAAAATAGTTTTGAATGTCGTCCTCATATACTGTATTAGGATATTAAGGTTTTTTGGCAGTTCATTTCGTTAAAAAAATCTTTTCCTCCAAAATCTTTTACTTTGAAATCAAGTATACTTCAATATGACTCCCATTTAATATTTTTATTATTGTCTTTGGTCCCAATAAACTTAACAATTATTATGGAAGATGATATTCTAAACTATTCACCAACTGTCATGTTTCGTGGGACATCCTGTATATGCACAGTAGTTTTTAAAATTTTGGGGATTTCATGAAGTTTATAATTAAGTCAAACAATTAATGATCAGATATAGTTTAAACAAACAAAGAAATATTTCAAATTGACAAATAAAAATGGATTTAATGAACATAAAAATAGTTAAAATTAACGTAAAAATAGTTAAAAAGAACATAAAAATAGTTCAAATGAAATGTTCATTGAACATATGAATTTAAAGATTTCAAAATAACAAAAAAATAATTAAAATGAACATAAAATAGTTCAAAGAACATAAAATAGTACAAATTAATATAAAATATAGTTCAAATGAAATATAGCTCATGAACAAAAAATAGTTCAAAATAAAGAAGAGGTACCGATACTCTTGAAGAAGAAACTGATACTCTGGGAGAAGGAACTGATACTCTGGGAGAGAAACTTATACTCTGGGAGGAGGAACTGATACTCTGGGAGGAGAGACTGATACTCTGGGAGGAGGAACTGATACTCTGTGAGAAGGAACTGATACTCTGGGAGGAGGAACTGATACTTTGGGAGAGAAACTGATACTCTGGGAGGAGGAACTGATACTCTGGGAGAGAAACTGATACTCTGGGAGAAGGAACTGATACTCTGTGAGAAGGAACTGATACTCTGGGAGGAGGAACTGATACTCTGGGAGGAGAGACTGATACTCTGGGAGAAGGAACTGATACTCTAGCCAAGCAANTTACAAGTAAACTCTAAGTAAGCCATACATCGAAAAAATTCATCATTCATCAAATGTTGTTTTCTTCACTTTCTGATAATGGAATGTTTAAATTAAATGATTATACGGAGCTCTTTAAAACTGTTCCATCATGATGGCTATTTATTTATTTTGGCAAATACTCAGATTTATGTAAAAAATTATAAAACCCATTGAAAAATTGTCAAGACGATTTTGGTAAATTCTTTTGATGTATGGCTCATTACGGGTTTAACTCTACCGGATTCAACTGATACACTACAAAAAACTGATGAACTTTATCATTATAATTCATTCAGAAGATGGCCGTGTTTGTTATTTTGTAGTATTTAATTAGAAAGAATCTCTTTATATTTTAATTTCAAAACATTCCAACCTCTTTACACTTCTCTTCAACCGCACGGCTGTCATTAAGCTCTTTATGTCCTGCTAATAGCGGTGTTTATGTCAGTGCCGCTGTAAAGTTTGCGCCTCGAGCTGCTATATTCAGTTCAACGGAGGTTCGGAGGACGGGAGGCACATCCAGGATAAAGGTCGGTCAGCCTCTGCAGTATTAAACAGGAGATCAATACAACCTCAGATTTTGTCGAGTGTGCATAAAGATTTTTTTTCATTTAAAGGGACTGTAGACTAAAATTCAAGTCATTCTCCATTTATGGCATGTATGATTGAATAAGACACTCTTTCAGAAACTTTTTTATCCGTGTTGAAAGAAATATCCTTATTTCATATCTGAAAATTGATCATTAACAATTGTGGTTTTTCTACAAAAGAGACTTGCTGATTTAATCTTCAAAGACAATGAAGGGAACTTTCAGAATTAGAAAACAGTTTAAAATGGAAAAACTTGTTCATTGTTAATCAGATAGCAAACTAAAATCCTTATTTCTTTCCTCCCAGTATTTTTTACAACCACTTTACCCTTTTTCTTCTGAACACTTTTCTCCCTCCAATCCCTACTAAGCTTTAAGATATTTTTCCTTTCTAGCTTTTCCTTACTTTCTCTCATATTTCAATCTTAAATCTTTTAAATCCTAAATTTTTCCATTTTCCTTTATTTCTCTCTACCTCAGCACTTAATCCTCCAAGCCCTTCTTTATTTCTCTCCACCTCAGCACTTCATCCTCCAAGCCCTTCTTTATTTTTCTCTACCTCAACACTTAATCCTCCAAACCCTTCTTTATTTCTCTCTACCTCAACACTTAATCCTACAAACCCTTCTTTATTTCTCTCTACCTCAACACTTAATCCTCCCAACCCTTCTTTATTTCTATCTACCTCAACACTTAATCCTCCAAACCCTTCTAATTATTTCTCTCTACCTCAACACTTAATCCTCCAACCAAACCCTTCTTTATTTCTCTCCACCTCAACACTTGGTCCTCCAAATCTTTCTTTATTTCTCTCCACCTCAACACTTAATCCTCCAAACCCTTCTTTATTTCTCTCTACCTCAACACTTAATCCTCCAAACCCTTCTTTATTTCTCTCTACTTAAATACTTTATCCTCCGAACCCTTCTTTATTTCTCTCTACCTCAACACGTAATCCTCCAAACCCTTCTTTATTTCTCTCCACCTAAACTCTTTTTTCAGCACTTCTCTTATTTTTCCTTTTATCAGGCCTGATTTTTTTCAATCTTTCCCTTATTTTTCTCCACCTTAATCCTTTTCCTTACTAACTCTTTTCTAATTTTTCCCCGTTATCTCTTTATCTTTCTCCCCACCCCCTAACTGTTATTTCTCCCCTTTTCAACTATTCCACCTATATTTTTCTCCACCAGGACTTATTCCTTCCAACCCTTTCCTTATTTCTTTCCACCTCATGACTCTTATTCCTTCCTATCTGATATGCTTTCATCCCTTCTTAATTATACCCCTAATTTATTTACATTACCCATCTCTTCCCATGCCTTGCATAATTACTTTCCAATTTATTCCTTGCTTATCCCTAATATTTCGCATTAATATATCCCTTTCATTCTCCCCTGACCTACGCAACTATGAATTCTCTTAAATCATCCCTGAAGTTTACACAGTACACGTATAAGTGCACTGCATCACTGCATATCTCTCATAGGCCGAAATTTAAAAGAGTATCGTTGAACGAAACTCCCGAGTTTCCGTTTTGGGGTCTTAACATTTGTGTAGATTTTGATTTAAGAGATTCGAAAAAAATGGAGAATATAAATCAAGTGAAAAAATAATATTTTATTACAAAAATATTGATATTCATAAAACTGCCTAACCCCATTTGTGAAACCCGGGTTTTAAAACTGGTTTTCATAACGATACCCATAACGATATTCATAACGATAAGTTTTGGGCTCCGGGGTTTGGAGAATGTATCCTCTCCTACAGGGTGTTCCAATAAACATGGGAATTAAGAGACGACTTGATAATCGTCTTTGATTTCCGATAATTGATAGTAAAAAAGGTGTATAAAAATATTTTCAGTCTTCAAAACTTATATTAAACTATTTTGTTAAGTTTGAATAAATTGGAATCTGGACAAATTTCTCAATATTTCCATTAATTCTAAAGATAAAAAAAAATGGTGATCCACAATTTGGAATTCGTGAGTGTTTTCGGAATTCCGCGGAATAAAGTACTTGCATTGTGCGCAAGCAAAATCCACTTGCGTTGGAAACTCACCTTGGGATACAACTGAAATTATATTAAAGAAATAATGCCGCGATGGAACAAAGAATATGTTTATTGGGACACCTTGTAACCCGAGTCTTAAAGAGTACATGGAGTACTAAAGTTATTTAAACCCCCCTGTTTTAGTATAGTATAACATTCATGGAACATTGAGTATCCTTGTAAATGATAAGAAGTTTTAAAATGTTATGTTTTTTTTCTTATTTTGACATTAGTGTATTCTTTGAAACAGAAGCGCGCAATGTAAATCAAATTCTAATCTTCCCTTTTTATTTTCCAAATTGAAGATTTCAAACTTTAACGAACTTTAACGTGAGTAAAAAATTTCAGTTATCTATAACATCAGGTTGCAAAGATTTGCACATTCGAGTTTGAGACAAATCCTTTCCTCTATCCATGCAGCATGAGGTATCTGAAAGAAGCAGTCTTTATCCCTGAATGTACCTGAAGAAAAAACCCGTCTATGTACTGATAAGTGGAAATACATCTATTTTTACCCTTCCCTGATACTAAATGTATACGCTGACTCATGAGACATTTTTTATCATGTTGTAAGTTATGATATCAAAAGGATAAGTGAGTTTATCTAAATTCCCCAGTGGTAAGGGTGGGGGGGGGGGAGACACATTCGCTTGTCAACTAGAAACTTTAAATATTCTAATGTGAGGGAAGAAATGCGTAAAAAATGTAAATTATTTGCTACAGCTAACACACTATATTGTTCTCAAATTAAATAAATGTTCAAACACATTAAGGTCAAGATTTCTCCAAAGAATTTGTTTATATTTTACAGAAATTATGGAAAATGAAGCAGATACAGAGCAAAGTTCCTCCTTGACGGAGAAATCCGTCCTTTCATCTCATTCTTACCCTAAACCTTCAGTGGCTTCTCATCCCAACCCCACTCCTCCAGTTCTTCATTCTTCTAATCCCAACCTTCACTCGCAATCTCATCCTCATCCTCAAGGTCTTCATTTCTCCGGGTTCAGTGCTGATACAGCTCATCCTCATCCTTTCCGTCCTTACGCACTTCATCCTTCTCCGCTCGCTAGAACTAGCTCAAACTCAAGCCTCTGCTCAGTTCTAACCCCGGAGAAGATGAAATCTATAATCTCAGGTATACCGATGTTTATAACTAGTTAGGGAACCCGGCTTTGCCTGGAAACTAAACTTTCTCTATTTCATACCATTCCCTCTAGAATTCTTAAACGAAGCTTAAAACATTCCCGGTGTAGTGCATGGGGACAACTCCCTGGCATGGGGCGGACTCTCCCTAAAGGTTAAACCTTTTTAACACAATGTTAGACATAAAAAGCAATGGTAAAACATTACAAATTATTAGTTGACATATAGAAAAAGGGTAAAGGCAAAAAAAGTGATTTCCTTCTGAATTTCGTTCCTTTCAAATAATCAAACAATAAATATTTACTCGAGGACGAGACATAGATAATTTTTAATGTGTTTTTCCAAACAAAATACATAACATAACATTGCTTTTTATGTCTAACATTGTGTTGAAAGGGTTAAAACGAAAGGAGGAGTCCGCCCCATGCAGGAGTCCGCTCCATGCATGACACCGGGGTTCTACCGACTTCCCTAATCAAAATTTGAGGCAAATCTGTCAAGGTGGTCTAGAATTATGCCCGGACAAACAAACAGACAAACAAGCAGAGATTACACTGGCAAAAGCGCTAAACACATATTTTGATAAAGTAGTTATTTTTCAGAACATTCAGTCAAGTAAATCTTGCAACTTTTTTCCTAAATTTTAGAAAAAAAGATAAATTTTGAAATTTAGACAGCAACAAAACATTTGTTTTGTAAAGTAAATACTACGAAAATATGTCAAATATTCCCTAACTTATATCATTCATAAACATGTCTTTGCAAAATAATATTTTTAAAGGGATTGCTCACCTATTTTAAAGGGATTGCTNGTTATGTTATGTTATGTTATGTTATGTTATGTTATGTTATGTTATGTTATGTTATGTTATGTTATGTTATGTTATGTTATGTTATGTTATGTTATGTTATGTTATGTTATGTTATGTTATGTTATGTTATGTTATGTTATGTTATGTTATGTTATGTTATGTTATGTTATGTTATGTTATGTTATGTTATGTTATGTTATGTTATGTTATGTTATGTTATGTTATGTTATGTTATGTTATGTTATGTTATGTTATGTTATGTTATGTTATGTTATGTTATGTTATGTTATGTTATGTTATGTTATGTTATGTTATGTTATGTTATGTTATGTTATGTTATGTTATGTTATGTTATGTTATGTTATGTTATGTTATGTTATGTTATGTTATGTTATGTTATGTTATGTTATGTTATGTTATGTTATGTTATGTTATGTTATGTTATGTTATGTTATGTTATGTTATGTTATGTTATGTTATGTTATGTTATGTTATGTTTATGTTATGTTTATGTTATGTTCGCTATCGGTTTGTCGGAGACTAAATGTTTGCAGGGCGAACCAAAATAAAATTTGCTTCCATTGGAAAAAATTAAAGATCAAGTTAGGAAAAATATTTTTAAATTTTTTTTAACATTAGCCATTATGTGTGGGTAGAAAAGAGACCGCAGACTGAAGTAAATAAAATGATTTCGAATAAGTCAACCCACCACACCTATCCTTGAAGCTTGTTTTATGCTCTAACGTAGCCGTGAGAAATCAATATTTTAGAAGACGAAAATACTGCAATTTAGAGGCAGCGTGCATGGAAGATAAAATAAGGAGAATGTGGCTTCGAGAAAAAATTGTGGTTAGAATTCCAGCCCTCGACTAACTGCAAGCTAAATACATTCTGTCTGGAGTGGAATAAACTTTTTTTTGATCTCTCATTAAAAAACCATAAAAATTGTCATAGAAACTACATTTCATAGATGCTTTAATTTCTAAAACATGAAGCCAAAAATAATTCAAAATCCAAAAAATCGACATTTAATGGGAACAAGTAGGTTCTAAAGTTAGGGTTACTTGTTTTTAAACCACGAGACCCACATTTTACATCGAGAAATACAATTGTACACTGTTAGGAAGCTTTAAAAATAAAAACGGAATGAGGGAATGTTTCATTTCTAATCTCAGAAAAGTGTTGTTGCCGGTTCAGATTCTTTGTGATATTATAAAAAGTTTAAAATCGTCCTAGCAGATTTCTATAGTTTCTGCATAATAAACCTACATTAATAAAGTTGCTTGTCCAGTTTTCCATTTTTATTTTTAGGAAATTATGGTATTCCTGTTCCACCGGACTCTCGGAGATTTGGCGGAAGTTCCATTTTAAACAATTCATCAATGCCCACCTCAAGGAACAATTCTATTTCCGGTCAGATCAATTCCTTTTCCGGTATACACCCTCCGGTTCCTACTGGAAAACAAAATGCCGGGGTAAGAAAGACATTTTTAAATATCAATGAATTGAATTAAACTTTTTAAACAGATGCTTTGCATTAAGAATTAAAATTCTTAGAAACTTTAATGTGTTTTCATGCTGCTTTCATTAGATTTAGTAGGTTTTTTACCTTTCATTTCAGTTTAACTGCAGTTATAACAGAAATCAAGTTATTTTCTATTTGTTTTTTTCTCGACTGTTTTAAGAGTTTCATTCAGTATAACTTTGAATTTAAATTGCCCAATAAGTTATGCTTTTGTTAAAACCTATAGAAGGCTAGTATTCAAGGGGGCTATTGTTGGGTGTGTTCCTACTTTTTTTTAATCGTTCTTTACGTTCCGTTCCGTTGGGTCCCGTGATAGAAGAATCGTTCAGCCAGGAACGACGCCATGGCCCTAGCGGGGGCTCAAGTACTTAGAGGAATGAGAAAATCTATGTCCTTAGTTTGAGCAGAGGAAGTAAGATAAAATAAGAAGGGGGGGGAACAAGCTTGAGTCTGAATGTTATTAGGAAATATATACTATCCTAGTTAAAGAGAAAATCTATGTCCTTAGTTTGAGCAGAGGAAGTAAGATAAAATAAGAAA